TTGGGGGGGGGGGGGACAGACTCACAAGCCAAGGATCTCAGCACAAAATAATCCTCCATAATAACAGAGTTTAAAGAGGCTTTGCCAACACCTCCCCGAATCCCCACTCCGCCTCACTTTGCTCGTATGAAAAACAGGGAGAGGGAGATAAGGTGTGTGTGTAGGGGGGTGGTGGGGGTGGGGGGGGGGGGGCACATCTGGAGAAAGCTGGTGAATTTCGCTCCTCAGTCTCATTTGGGATTGCTAATTATTGTTTTTAGAGCACAACAATTGGGGTATTAGGGCATAAGCGGCTGGAGATAACATCCAGAGGAGGGCAAGAGGAGAGAACAGAGGGGGTGCATAGGGGAGACAGATAATGGGCCGACAGAAGGGGAGCCATGATAGGGTCGGCTCCATGACGGTGTCTCTGTCTCCGGGTTACAATATAGCACAACGTCAGGAGGCACACCGACTCAGGGTCAGGAGGGCGAGGGGAAAGTTTTCAATGATCTGCAGCTCAGGAATCAACTGAGATTAGAGAAGGCGAACAAAAGCTGCAGCAGCAGAGAACGATAGCACCAATAAGAGGATTCAGTTTAAGGAGTATTTTTACCACGTCGTACACCTGATGAGCCCATGAGGAAAAACTGTAAACTCTATGGAGCTTCGGGGGACTTTAGGGTCCCTATATTGATTTTAGATCTGAAACCTTACTGTACTCTGGATTCCTGTAATCACTATTGGCCATTAAAGCAATTATCCTAATAAAAAGTGCAGCACATAAAACAGATTCTTGTCTTAAAGGAATCAGCCAGAGAATATAAAAGCATAAGTGAGATCATTGGTCTGTCTGTATAGAAAGATGTCTTAATTCAAACTTAAGTAAAACAGAATTTTACTGGTCTCAACCAATCATTTTTCTGGAATGTGATAGTTAAATGGAACTTTTTAAACATTTACCCCAAACATCTTTAGTTAATAAATCAAATGCATCATTCAAACTTAGCCTGTGGAAACATTTCTCGTTGCCAATTCAACATATTTGAATGAAACAACTAAATGTAAGGAAAAATATAAGGAAACTAAAGCATATTGACTGGTATTTTTTTTGTTTGCAGGTCGAGTAAATTTTTGCAAAAACAGTCTCAAGGGGACAACTGGAAACGTTGCACGTTTGCACCATATATGTAATAAATATAAGGTATAATTGCAGAAGAAGTGTGTAGATTAACTGAGAACACCCCATGATTCAGAAGCTTTGGCAGAGCTCACCTTTAGCTAAAGTTTTGCTTATATGGTGTTGTTTTCCTACATCACTGGGTAGGAATTCTGTGCCAATCTTTACCTCAGAGTGTTTTGTTTTTTTATTAATTTACACCCGTTCTCTATGTGGTTAAAGGTTTCAATTGGTCAAGGACACTATTCTTTGATTGGTCATTATAACATCTTCTTTCTTTATACAATTTGACACACCCCTTCCAATTTTGACAAATGTTATAATATTCTCTAAATAGCTGATCTGTATCCCAAAAAATTCTGTTATCAAATCCTTACCTCAGCAATAGTTCTCTTACTTCTCTTTGCTCACTTACCTTCATCTCAGTGTTTAATTGATACAAACAGTCGAAATGTTATTTCAAGGCTATTCTATTTTCAGCAGAAGTCCACGACGATCACCACTTAATTGTTTTACTTGTCAAATTTGAGTCTGGGGCTTATTAATTGTAAGTCTTTGTTGTTTCTTAGCTGGAAACTTCTACTAGTGAGGATGCTGACTTAGGGATGGGCATGACTGAGCGTGGCATCAGAAAACCTGCTATTTCTTTTTGGGGGTGCTAAACCCTTTAATGCCCTATGTATCATATTGGATGCACGGATTGACCGATAGACTTATTGCACCTTCATAGTTTAGTATGTTGTTACAAAAATAGAAGGAAATATTGAGAGAGAGAAAGAGAGAGAGAGAGAGAGACAGAGACATTATTACTTCAAATATAAAGAGACAAACAAAGATAAGAAGATAAATATCTTTTTCATCCATTTTTCTTGGGCGAGGCTTTAAAGGGTTAAGGACTTTTAAGGGTGGTTGCAGCCCTTCAGCATTGGCCCGATGATGCCCTGTTCTGAATAGTCTGGTAGGACCACTGCCATGAATATAATCACCCTACAAGTGAAATACTTATAAGATGGCATCATTTCTTTTGCTTCCGTAAAGAGTAAACAAAACAGACAAACAAACATAAAAAGCTCTATGAGACATCCCAAATAAGAAATACTTGGGATGATAAAAGATCAATTTGAAAATACAAAACAAAAGAAGCAGTTTGGATTCTCCCCCATGGGACAGAGGAAACCAGTCTGGAAAGCACATGGTCACACAGTCTCTCTCTCTCTCACACACACACACACACACACACACACACACACACACACACACACACACACACACACACACACACACACACACACTCACACACACTTTGGCTTTTATTCTGTGAATGGGGAGGCTGGCCAAAGTCATCTGGAAGCCTCAGCGTGCCAGTGAATAAATAAAGCTGTAATTAGCTAAGAAAACAGCGCCACCTGTTGGTGTCCCACCCCCTTGAATTGGGATTGTTACGGGGAGCTGTGGGACACACCTGAGCCTCCGTAGGCTTAGTGTCAAGGATCTGGCACACATCAACGAGGGTTGTGTGTGTGTGTGTGTGTGTGTGTGTGTGTGTGTGTGTGTGGAAGTCTTATTTCATGTAACCTTGTGTGTTGCTGTGCTTCCATTTGCAAAGAGGCTTACCGAGCATATGTGTTGCCATTGTGCGGAGCGTGTGTGTGTTCACGCGCGGGTCAAACTGCGTGTCCTAGGGCCCGCCTGGCAGCGGCGGGCAGAGTCAGGGGCCTGAGCATCTGGCCTGGGGGGGCTGGAGGTAGTAGCCCCCTTGTCCCACCAGACACAGGCAGTGGTGGGCAGATGGACGGGGCATGGACACTGCCAGAGGGCCGCCGGGGCAAAACCGAGCCTGAACACAGAGAGACACACACACACACAAACCCAGAGCAACACACCGCATGCGTCTGAACGACACACACAGACAGCTAATTGTGTTATTTTAGAAGAAATGGCAAATAGCTTTGCATATCGACAGAGGGGGGACAAATCCAGACGTGTGGGACAGGATTTCTGAGTGACAGAGCACGTGTGTTACACTTCATCATCGTCTGAGACTGTAGTGGTGTACATTTACACACTAAATCAGTCTTTTTCCTTTTTTTTTTTAACCATCTGCAGCTGCTTCACAACGTCCCCGATACAAAGACCTGCCCAAAATGACCCCGTACCGACGAATGTTTAAAAGACTTGACAGGGTATTTGAAAGGGAGGTGTTGGTGTGTGGGATCGCCCAGGAGCCGGGGCGGTGGTGCGGGAGGTAGCCACCGGCTCCAGCAGTCCAGAGAGCCACAGATGCTCCGCTGTTTGTGTGTGTTGACTCTCTGTAATTTGTTTGCTCTAATTTGTTTTGCCGTGCCGGGGGAGTTCGGATTTTAATTTTGCTCTGTGTGTGTTTACCCCTCTTTGTGGATCGCTGATCTGTTAAGCGCAGAGAGAGGGAGAGACAGTCAGAGAGGAGGGTGGGCTGTTCACGGGGCCAAATTAAAAAAAAAGAAGGGGAGCTGTGCAGATTGTTTTAAGCTCTGGCAGCCCCCTTCAGGCCCAAAGGCTTTGCTCGCAGCCTGCACCTGCTCCGTCCCCCGGGAGCCTGGTTCCTGAACCGTGGCCCTCGCTTCTCCTCCTCGGGCCCCTAGCCCAGCCGCCTCATTCCCTCCACTTCTGTCCTCTCCACCGCAACTTCTTTATCTGTCTTCATTCTGTTCCTTCCCCTCTATTCTCTCTGCTGTTTTCTCTTTCTTCTTCCCAGTGGCTCCTGGGTGACTCCTTCCATTCCCAGAGCTGGCCTTTTCACCCCTTTTCTCCTCTTCACCACCTGCTCCTCTGCTCCTCTTAATCGTCCCTCTTTCCTTGTTTTGCTCTTGGTAACTTCCACTCTTTGCCCAAACTCAATTTTGTCTTTTCAACCCAATTTTTCTATTGCATCAAACTCCCTCGCCAGCCGTGTCTTTCCACCTCCTCTCCGGCTGCTTTCCTGTCTCCAGAATTTGGCGGGCTCTTAAAGATTATGACTTCTTTAGTTTAATAGAAATAAGCGTTAAATACAGTCAAAATAGCAAGAACATTTTTTACAAGCCCCAAAATGAGATGAACTCAAAACAAACAATGTGTTTAAAATTGTCACAGCTAATTCTTTATTGAAATCTTCCAGACTTTTTATGGCTGGATGGCCATAGGTAGTTTTATCAGTCAGTCTGCTTTACAGTATGTAAAGTATGGTACACATTATTTACATGACACCAGCAGTGATGCTATGACACAGTTACGACACATCTAGCTGTAAAATGGCTTGATAAAAATTACCTCCCACCGCGCTGTGGTCCCTGGACCCGAACAGGTGACTGTTGAGCAGGTGGCTCAGAACTGGACAGGTCAGGCTGTCACAACATAGGCAGGACGTTATGATGGATGAGCATTCTGTCTACTGAATCTGGGCAGGTCTTGCATATTCAGACGTTGGTCTACGAAAAGTTTCCCTCCTCAAAAACTGCAGAAACTTTAATCCCTACTCTACAATCAGTTACCTCAAACGGTACACACACATGCAGATGATTCAGTTTGTTTGCTTTGCCCAGGTTTAAGATTAGGTTTACGTTTAGGATTAAGGTTAAACTCAGCAAAATGGAGGGGAAATACGTCTAGTCGGTAGTATTTCATCAGCGTTGTTTCCTGACCTGATGGAAATACCAGAAGGAACCGTGAAGGTGTTCTTGCAGATAAACTGATGTCCAGTAATCGCTTGTCTTTTCTTGGTCTTCATTTCCTGCTAGGAATGGTTAAAGAGTTTAAATAGTCCTCTGTGTCATTTGTTACTGGGAATTTAGTGTCCGCAGGGCTTTAAGTTTAGCTTCATCAAAGGTCAAAGGTTAAATGGAACAAAAACAGAAAGGTTGGAGCTGAGAGAAACTGTAAAGCTCACTGTCGCCTCACCACCAGTGGCTTCTTTCATATTATACATGGCTCCCCTTCATATGAAAACACTATCAAAGACAGTTTTTGGTAAGCCTTCCAGAAAATGTTGTTCTACAAAACCGGATCCAGTTTGTTCTGTAATTGACCACGTTTTATCTGATGGACAAGCCGCTGATAAAATGTTCTAAATAAAGCGAATGAAGTATGTGATCTCTGCTGTGATGTCAGGTGTCAGACTGGAATACACTGGAATAATTTGTATTGATTGTTTGTACTTGATATTTGATTTTTTTTTTTTGCTCTGTGTGTGATTACCCCACACAGTTTTCCAGCCACATTCTGCCCGTTGACAGCAGTCTTCACTTTCCGCAGCAGAAGTAATTTAGACAGATAGTTTGGTTGATTTTTCCTTCCACTAAGTCCCCTGCTCTTTGTTAGGAGGCAGAAATCCTACAGACACATATTGCTTAAAAAAGACAAGATTCCACTGGATGTTTAAGTAGTTCTTTCTAATTAGCGTGACCTATCTACACGACTAAAGTCACATCTACTCTATATGTACCATTATCATTTTTACAGTCACCACATTTCAGTTATGAGCACCTCCGCTAAGCTAACCGTGACAATTTCCCAAACACTTTGGTCCATGTTTCCATCATTTCAGCTCCTTTTGATTTGGTATTCTCACTGAGTCTACAAAGACCTTTCCATCGCCGGCTGTATGACTGACATTCCCACCCAAAAACATTCACATAAGCAATACAGACCTCTGGCAGCATTATCACTGTGAGAACATTTTCTGTTCTCCATTACATCAGCATTTCCCTCTCTTCTAGCCTATTCCCTGCATCTCTTCTGGAACAAGGTGAAAAAAAAATTCCACTAGTGCAAAATAACATCTCGCTGTGAGTAATCAAAAAAAGAAAAGAAAAATACCAAAAATATATATGTATATCTATGTATAGATTTGACACACGCATTTGTATAGAAAGAAAGAAATTCAAATGGCACTGATAATTTATCATATAACAACAAAAACTGCCAAAATTGTAATCTTCTGTCCACTAAGGCTGATGTGTTGCTGCAACCCAACGGCAAAATGCAATGCGTGTGCAAATAACACCATAACACTCTGACAAGTCACCTATGGATTCAGAATACGATGGTGGGAATAATGGAGAAATAACCTGTGCTGTTCAAATGAAAGCATATTCCTCCTGCTGGAGAATGGGAGGGACATCCTGTTGACCGATGGCTCCATCTAGTGGTCCAGTATGAGAACAACAGATTTAAGGTGGCACCACAAGGTGTAGAAATCAATTATGAAAAACTTGCCACAGAAAGATAACAAACCCCAAGCATCTAATTGCTCACAGAAGATAACAAACGTTATAGCTGGTGAAAGAAAGAGGTGCAAATCGGCACATCTCTCCCTTTCTGGGTGCTCTCCGTTCCACAGACCTACATGTGGATGTGGGACGATTCGGACGGTCAAACAGCATTTTGATGCTCCACACAAGCAGCACGAGGAAATGACACAAGGATGAGTTTAGGACACGGACTGGCACTCAGTGTCATCTGTGCTTACTATTCAGTGCGCGGATGGTAAGCAGCAGAGGCACGGCAGCTGTTCCTTTTTAACCACATGATCAATCGCCACCTGTTGGAATGGGTTTGGTGTTATGAAGCATGGCAGAGTGGTGATTAGTTGTATCATTTCATAGCAAGTGAAGTGCCACCTGTCTTGTCAGCAACACTCTTTTTCTCATGGAATCCGACGATCACTTCCAGACAACCTCACAGCAACTCCTGGATCTGAGAGCGAGACAAATAAGGCAAAGAGGAACTGCCGCAAGGACATTCCTGGCAATGCAGGAGGGGACAAACCGTACAGTAGCATGTAATAGTAGGAGGTTCAGTTTGTGTCCTCTGCATATAAACACCCAGTCTGTTTGTTAGGAAGCTGTAACATGCTGGGTCTTGGAGGTGGAGGAGCTGGAATAGTTTCCAAAGATGTACGAGCCGTTGTCTGGGCAGCCTGTCCCAGCCAGATTCGATTATCAAAACCTCACAGCTTGTGGGGTAGACTATTCCAGTCCTCTGTCGCTCTTAATAAGTCCGCAAGCCATTAGTCAAACCTCTAGGTCGGGCATTAACTCCTCCTTGAGCAGGGTGTCATTGTCAGACCCCGTTCCCACGTCCGAATCAAAGAGTGAGTGGTCTGAGACAGGGGAGGCTGTGTGGGAGTTCCCTGCTGAGTGGCTGCCGCCGTCGCTGTCATCCAGAGTGTCAGTCCGAGAGAAGAGGCCGAAGTCCGGCAGCCCCGCGGCAGAGCCGCCGCTGCTGCTGCTGCTGCTCTCGCTGTCCCCGTCGTAATAAAGATCATCCACCTCCACGAACCACTCAGGCCAGAACCGTCTCCGCATCCGCTCGCAGAACATGGCCAGGTTGATCAGCTCCCCTGTGCAGGGAGAGCCACAGCTGAAATCAGCTTACCAGCGCTACGAGTCTGATACCATCCTGTAGTACGATACGCATTCAAGTGAAGCATCACATTTTCATTTTGCAAGCACTGATATGATCTAGAGGTTAAAAAACAACAGCAACTGGATGAGAGCATCATTCCCCAGCAAATAAAATCAACTTGGTACCAGGAATCCTTTGATGTCTTCATGTTGGACCAACATAATGACAACTCTATAAATCAGTTATGCACGGTTTCAAAAACTTCTTAAGTCCAAACTCAAGGACCCAAAGCACATATACAGGCTGTGGAAAACCCTCCCTTCTGATCCTAACCCCATCAAAAGAATTTGGATTGAGCTTGACCAAAGAGTTTAAACCGTTTAGCTTGCAAACTGTTCCGTGGCTTTCTTTTAAGTGACAGAAACGCCCTTGATGAACAGTATAGATCGGCTCAGACGCATGCGAGTTATAACTGAAGGTGAAGCTTCTGTAGAAATCAAACTTTACATCAACTTATGTTTTCATATTTCCTGACAATCTTCCTGTCAACATTAACTTTAAAGCAAAGCACTGCGTCTGTTTTTGGCATATTCTTATTTGTGGGGACAATGAACGCTTGTGGCGGTTTTGTCAGTACTACCAGTGTCTTTTCACAGCTCACAGCTTAAGGATGGAGTGATTAGTCTGTAGCGACTTTATATTTAGTAGTTTGTCACATGTGTGTGCATCCTGAACAGGTGCTGACCTTTGATGAGCTGCTCTGGTCGTGTCCCAGGTAGAGTCCACATAGCCTGAGCCAGGAGCCCGAACACAGTGGCATCTAATGTTGACATCTTAGCGCCCATAAAGTATTTTTTATCACCTACATAACAGAAAACAGACAGGAAACAGACGCAAGAAAAAATGTAAAATACTTATGCAATTATGTGTACATAGCTAAATGAACAAGTTAGTAGGTATAAACCTAACAATCAATCATACAATGGACTTCTAAACCTCGTTGCTTTTTGTTACCAGTACTTCAAATTGTACTTTGGGTTTTATCTTCATGCAAGACAAGAAGATAATTTTTCTCATTTATGTAAACACTTGCTCTGGGTCTGTTTTTAACCTTGATTGAGCTTATCGCTGTCACGTCTGGTGTTTCGTCATGTCATGATTACCTATTGTGTACACCTGGGGTTCCCCTCCCTCATGTGTTTAAATAGTCCTCGTTTCCCCTTGTCTTGTGCGAGTGCGTTCTAGTCCGTCTTGTCTGTCTGTCCTTCGCCACCCCCACGCCAGGTTTGTTTTTTGCCACAGTTTTGTTAATCGTTATTTTGTTACTTTGTCACAGTCATAGTTTTGCCTCAGTCTTGTTATTCTTTACTTTGTTACTTTGCCTTTGCTCACAGTTTTCCACAGCTTTGATTTGTACTTTGTCTGGACATTCACTCACTCATGAGTGTTTTTTGCTGCAATAAACCTTGTTTCCGTCATCTCCGCACCTGAGTCCTCCCTCCATGAACCACCCCACATGACAATCGCGGTATACAATCACTCATCTGTTGCTTTGACAAATTACTTAGTTTTCTTATTTTCATATCTTTAATTGCAACTAACTTAACAATAATTTTAAGGCTAATCCCATGCATCTCACCAGCTGCTCCAAAATGTTTTCAAACTTTTTATTCTAAAGCTGTATGAGCTCATTTTCTAACTTGCTGCTACCTGCATGGTGATGGTGGTTTAGGTGTATTATTCTTCACCATCACAGAAAAATGAATAGAATAATTTAATAAAGTCCTCTGTGTTTTGTAAAATATGTGGGGAACTGCACAATACAACCCAACAGCTGCTGAAATGCCTTACTGTTGGAAATGTCTGTCCTTTCTTACAGGTCATCTTTCCTAAATGTGCTGTTCTTTGACAGAATACCTTTAACGTGTTTCAGTGGATCTCACAAGACATATTACACTATACGGATGCTATGAGGGGAGCAACCACAACAGTGGATGGTTTTATTCTGGGAATAGCTATGCATTTTAACACAAGTGGTCATTAACTACAATGCTACTAACGGATCAATAAGAGGCTCCTTTTAGTACTCCACCTGATGGCTTATTTCCATCTGAAGGCAGATATTCTCTTTGGCTGTCACCTAGATCTTGCCCGCTTTAATCTTCTAGGCACTAACCGATATTCAACTGTGGTTTTGGAAGAAGGTGAAGCGCATGAAGTTGTGGACCCACCCAGCAGAGTAGCCAGCGTCCTCATGTCTTTCTCCATCAGTGTGTAGACCTCCTCCTTGGAGAACCGTCCGATGCCATGGCCGTACATCTCCCTGCGCACCATGCCGCCGTTCAGGTGGCTCAGCAGCCACTTCAGTGTGTCGCTCAGGGGCCCGCTCATTGCCAGCAGCTTCTGCGTTTCCTCCAGGTTGTCCACCCACTGACAGTAGGCTATTGCCCTGAGGGGAGACATAAAGAAGACAACATTTTATTGGCATCATGCCAGTGGGACTGGCTACAGCACATTTAGAACTGTTTAGAACTGAAAACAGTTACAGCAATATCTGAAATGTCACATTGAAGTCAATTGTCATCGTTAATTATTTACATCTAAATAAGGAAGAAAACTATTTTTTTGTTTATTTAAAACAATTCCAACAATTCTAAATTTGCCAAAAATAATCCCTAACTCTTGGACTACATACACACTGTCAACCAAACACAAGATAAAAATATTCCTTTAAAGGACATTTTTTGTGTAGTTTACATATCATAGAATTAAGATATGAGAAGCAAATCATCAACTTATCCATGCTCCATCAGTCTAAGATGTGAAGTAATGACTAATGAAGAGTGGTGTCAACAGAATCTTTTAATGAGGGTCCAGCCACTGCTTCCTTTTTCCAACAAAGCTTTATATAAAAGTGTACCACCCCTTCCGTCCCTTTGCCATCAATTAGGCACAGTGCTCTCCACCAATTACATATTTTCAGCTAATCTAACTGCCTGCTTGTTGTTTTGCACAAGCATAAAAGTTTGTAGTTAGTCTTTGGCTCTGAATAATAAATCTAGAGTAAAGATGTTATTGGTCAGCTCCACGACAAATATACAGATAGAGAGACATAATAGTCCAACTGCTTTGGACTTTCTCCTTTGACAACATCAAATGTTGCTGTAGAAAAAAGCACCATGTGAATCCCCCTTTTGAAGAGAACATAAGTGGGTCTAAAGCCATTCTGAAGTCAGGGAGAGATTTATCACATCAAAATGGTTCTCCAGTGCACAGCTGAATATTTTACTCAAAGGATCCTCCTTTAATCCCCCTTTTAAAATCAGCTGCTTATTATCTGCTTATCGCTGTTTGTGACCATTAAACATTGCATAATAAGGCCTATAAAAGATAACTGCTTCATGCCTTCATCTGATTAATGAACAGTCAGAATAATGTTCTTTTGGTAAATAGATTACGATCTGAGATCTTTTTCTCTGTTTTTCCAGCCAGTGCTCTGTGTGTGTGTAGTCACTAATGAGATTAGGAAGCGACACGCTGTGATTACTTGTGGTTTTTCAGATTACCTCACATAGAAGAAGGCCTCAGCTCATCTGAGAAACCAGAAGGCTGATGTCTTATATCTTCTAGAAGCTTATGAACTGTAAAGTGACTGTTCAAAGGGCCGACTTTTCATTCTTTTGTTCACTGTATATGATTACTAACTCGACTTAACAGAATTTAAGTGTCTGGTATATATATTCCTGAGCGGTTACTTTCTCCGTTTCACACACTGTGTGTTATATTTAATGTCTTATATAAGAAGACAGACCTTGGGTTTTGGGTTTGAAAAAAATAAAAATGGACCCACATAGCCAGGAGTTAAAGAGTAAATAGCAAATTCACAGTAAAAAATTCATGCCCGTGAAGTGTGCAATAAAGGGATTACAAAAAAAATAATGGACAGTAAATTTTTAATTAATGAATGCGAGTGTTTTGGCCATTTTGGGATGAGACGAGACTTCTTCCAGGTGAAACTGACCTGAGCCTATGTTTAAGTTGAAAACAATTCCGAAAACCATGGTGACGGAAAAAAATGAACATATTCTGCAAAAATCAAAGCTAAAATGATCTTTATATTTTGCCATAGCCTTAGTACTAGCGAAAACATACTTTCTGACATTAATTATCTCTTTTTGTGTCCAATATGTGTTTTTTCAAGCTACTAAAAAGCCTATTTCCTAATGAACTGGTCTAAACAACGTCTGTGCCATAAAAAACTAATTTATTAGCGTTATTTAGCATTGGTTAGCTAAAATTGAGAAGTAAGAACGTTTTCTGAACTGCAATCATGATAAACTCGTTCTCTTCTGCATTTTTCCCCAACCAAATCCTTCATCATAAGATTTAGTAAAAAAAAAAATCTTCAAACACAGTTATCTTGATAAGATGTTTGGACAGAAAGCATCACAGCTAATAATAGGGTAGTGCCACAGCTGAAAGATGTTCTGTTACCTGTACTTGTATATCTATTATTCAGTCATTTGCCATTCATTTATTTAGTTAAAATGTAACCAGTAGGGTGACTTAGTATGTTAAGGATTGCATCCTGTAGCTGCTGCTTGACTGGGTCTCTTCACAGCAACCTGCTGCCACACTGCCCTTCTCTGCCATAAATAATTCAGCTGAATATGTTTATATGTGGGTCTAATTATGGCAGGGAGGTCTTAGTTTGAGATAAAGAGCAGATAGGAGAATGTGTTACATCAGTGACCTCTGCTGCTTTCACCACAAATTACAATGTTACTTATGTCATAACCTCTTAACTACTACCATGTTTACATTTTTTTGTTTAATTTTAGGAGTAAGCTTCAAGAATTTCATTCAAAGTGAATCCTATCAATTTCAAACAAAGGACAGTGGGCCACATGGCACTGGAGCAGCCAAGGTTAGATCAGTGTTTGTGAAAGGGGAGTGGAGGGTGGAAGATGGATAGAGCTTTTAGGTAATGGAAACCACTCTGTGTCTCTCCCTGTTAGGGAGGAGTGGTGAAAATTATTTCCAAGCAGCAGTGGATGTCTGTCCCAGTGGCACTGGAGTGAGTCACCACTGCGATGGATGGCAGAAGGCGCAGCAGGGATAGGGAGTCTGTGTCAGCCCAGGCTGTAAGGTATTATGTAGAATGCTTATGTAAAGCTGGGAGGACACTCAACAGAACAAATCTTCCATCATGGCCTGTGACAATACTGGTGCAGCTATAATGCACTTTTTAACGAACTGATCCCAGTTTTTTACTCCATTTGTCCTTTCTTGATCCCATCTACTGAAATTTAGGTTGAATTAAAACTGACATTTTTTCATTTAAGGCCTTTTCATAATGGCATCTGTTATTGACTCTTTTTAAAATAAGAATTACAATATCATGTTTCATTACAAAAAAGACAAAACTAATACCATTTTGTCTAATTCTAAAGGACTTCGTTATGCCTTTTTAAAAATCTAAAAATGACTAAAACAACAGTTTAAATTCTCTTACAACACTTTTAAAAAGCTTTCACAGAATAAACTCTAAGGCGTGTTACGTGTCAGTTGGAAAGCGTTACCAGTAGAGGTGTTCTTCAACCATTTTGGTGACAGCCCGTGACACGGCTCTTTCCTGAGGGGTGAGGTTCTTGTTGAGGTTGACCCCAAGCTTCTCCTCCAAGAAATCCACGATGAACTCGGACCCTGACACCTGCTCGTGGTTGTACTCGATCCATGGCATCTTTCCCTGCGGCGACAGCCTCCCATCGAAGTAGTTCTGCACAGGCATAAAGCTTCATGTGAGATCACAAGCTCATACACATCCTTTTTGTTATCTAGTTGTTCTGTGTCACCACCTACTCAAAGTTAGAGTAGTGATTTAATATTTGCCTTGTATTTTTATATTCAGAACAAATTAGCCAACACAGACAGTGTTTGATGCCCTTAGCAGCAATATTATGTTCTTTATTGAAATGTTGAAAATAATTATTTCAAGAATTTCAGAATATTTGTATGAAGACAAAGTCAAATCATCTTTAAATAAATTTGTTTCATTTCAAGCCTCTTTTGGGTCAATCAAAATTAAGTGTTGAGAGGTTTTGGGGACATTTGTATGCATATTCCAACATTTCTCATATTAAGTATGCATAAATACGTTTAATTTAATTAATGTTTTGTATGAAAACAATGTGAAACTCATATGTTAAAGAATAAATTTAATAACATTTGAATAGAAAGCTCTTTTTACTTTTTTAAAAGTCTGTGTTAATGTTGCTTCTCAGTTTGAATTACGCATATTTTTTATTACAACTTTGAAGTGTCGAAAGACTCAAGGAATCCCCAGCAGGTGTGACATCTGTGCACAAAGTGCAGTAATGAGCTTGTCAGTCACCTGGTAAGGCAGATCCACCATGCGCAGGTATGTCTCTATCTTGAGGCAGAAGGGGGAGAGGCTGGGGACGCCATTCTTTGGTCTGGAGAACTGATGGAGTATGATGGCATCTTTAGAGTCCAACTCCTGCTCCTTCCTACAGAACGCACAAAAGGAGAAAAAGTCATTATTAATCATGTGGCTGTTTACATTTTGCTCTCTGTAACTACTATTACATCTTAAGATTGAATAGAAAGAGAAACATGAGTAATATTAGGTTGTGGTTTCCCTTATTTTTTCAAATCAACATTCAGGTCCTATACAATGAATCATACACAAAGAGAAGAGACGTAAAACCAGTGTTTTAGGATTTTGGGTGTGCTATTTTCCCCCTGAGGGCTATTTTTACAGACAGGATGGTAAGCTTTATCTTGTCCCTGCTAATAAATGTTGACGTAAACAAGCACAACAGTAAGCAGACCTCGCTGACGCTTCTTCATTCCTGGAAAACGTGGACCTTAAACCAGTCTGGCTGTGAGTGATTGATGTTCCTGGAGGTTTTCTGGGTCAGTGTGTGCTGCGTGATAAATACTGAACATAACTCAGCATGAGAGCATAAATCTGGACTTTGCTCGGTTTAGTTTTTGTGTTTAACAAACCTTCTTAGGAGGAACGGGTCATAGCTGTAGTTTATTATAGCAAAGTGACACAGCATGCCAATCCCCACATCCCTTAGCTCTGTTATTTTTACACAACGCTACCCACTAACAAGCACTTATAGAGGAAAACTTACAGAGGAAGTTACAAAGCTGTGCTGTAGCTCAAGTGCTTCATTATCTGTGGGAGAATTTGTCACGCTTTTCTGTGCTGGCTAAGACCTAAACTGTCATGTTCAGTAATAGGCAACTGTGTTTTGTATCACTGAACACATTTAACTTATGTCTCATACCGACAATTTGTTCTGTGATCGTCTGCTAAAGCTGGGTTGGATTTGAACTACAAGACTGATAGGGGTTTTATAAATTACTATAAAACACTACTAACGTTTTTTCATTGTATTAACTGAGTGGTATAAAAGGTGGGTTTGGATTTATTTAGTAAATGAGTCACCATGCTGCTCAAACTGACAATACACAAAGGTGCCGCTGTACTTTTTGCCAGCAGCCATGAGGCACTTAACGGTTTACTGGAGGGCACTTAGGTAAGAAGGAGAAAACAGAACAGAAAGGAACAAAAAAGCCACCTATTGCCAATCTTTATTTCACAAAAAACTGAGCTAAAATGCAGAAACAGTGTGGGAAAGAAACGTCAGAGTACAGAAGGCATGAAACTGCTATTTTATGCTAGTTAAATGATCATCAGTGAGTGAGAGCACCTCCATAAAAGCTGAAGCTTTGCCAGTTTGCTGGTATGGAACCATCAGTTTTAAGTTAATACAATGCCTAAGAGGAACGACATCAATGATCATTGTCACTTTCCGTCAATCTAGGAGGAACGGTTAGGACAAGTCCAAACAACTTGGAGGTGCTAGTTCTACATAGAAAAATCATTCACAAGAGAAAAATTGTGGACAACTGCCAATCATCCCAGCGAGCTCAACCAAAGGTCAGACTGTGTAAAGCTTGGAGAAACAGCAAAATACACATTCAGTTTAGTTGAATCTGTACTCCTTTGGCCCTCAATTATGCTATGAAAGTGTTACTTTGTAATGTGATTCTTATTCACATATATATACTAATGCTCAGCATATAACGGTACAGATAAAGGCCTTGATTTGCATGTAACAAGATAAAATTATTCAAGAGTGCCTTGCAAACAAAAGGCACATGGTCGCTCAGCTTAAGTATGTAATGTTGCCCCTGAATAAATCACAAGACCTCTGGAGCAATGTTTGCCCATAATGCACAGCAGCACAGTAAAAGAGTCAGAATGTATCATCTGAAGGACAATGTTTGGTTAGTAAATCAGATCATGTAGATTTATTCATCTACTTGCTTAATTCCTCAACCATTCAACTCTTATGTGTAAAACTTTAGGATGGAAAGAGGATGTGTTTTTCCATCTAAGATATTGTAAGCCATATTCCCATAAATTTTATATAAATTTTTTGGCTACCATAGGTTCATGTGAAATCTGTTTTTCTTCAGATGTTATTGTCATAATTTCCCAGAACACACAGACCCTGTCTGCTCTTTTTATCATCTCTTTTATCACAAACCAATATGTTTTACGCTGGACTGACTTACAGAAATGTAGCTACATGTTGTGCTAACAGGAGTGGAACATGGTTTTATTCCAGCTATTCAGTCCATCAACTCTTGAAATTAACCCCTTGGACCTAGGTCACATAACTCTGTCTAAATGTTGGTAAAATTTGGTAAAGGAAACACTGTTAATTATCTCATCTTCTGGTTTTACAGCTACGTAATAACTGTCACTAGAACTCTTCCTCTGAGGTCATGTGATTTGTATGGTTTCCTTATCCCATAATAATTTTATGGAAAGAATAAACCAGTGTTGCTATAGCTCATTGGATGCCATATGTCACCTTATTCAGGTGTACTAGCAACACTAAACCTGTTTATGAAGCTCCAACCACTGGATGTTAATTCAATAATTAATTTAACGGGGTGAGACGTAAAGCTATACATATTTTAAAAAATGCTGCATTTGCAATTCCCCTGATTCGGATTGTACTTACTGTATTATCACACAGACAACAGCAGTGTTTGTAAGGTGTCAAATCCAATTGAGATGGAACAGATGCTGATGTGGATTAGTTTTGGATTAATTTCCCCCTTCACCATGTATTAATCATTAAAATACACCCTTCTGTTCTTCACTATATCTATTCAGTCTAGTTGTGTCTCTGTCCACTGCTCTGTGGTGCTGAACAAGTAGCTGTCAGCACCAGCAGGGTGCTGAAAACATCCCACATCTGCATGCTATTTTTAGAGATAACCCTTCTGCATCTCACCCATCTGACTAGCCGTGAGGACCCATTCAAAACCGACAGAAGATTCCATATGTCTCACTGAGGGGAATGGTCGGAGCTGCCTACTATAGCGGATAGCCTCTGCATCACATGCTTCCATCAGATGAAGACGGCAGGCTGCGGGGGTCCAGCATCAGCAGCCTGCACGTGATTCAGCACCCAACGCAAGGTTACACGGCTTATGCTGGTGGGGGGAGAGGAGGGGAGGGGCAGCCAGAGCACAAACTACGAGGCCACTGTAACAGGATGTACTTACCGCCCGGGATAGGCCATGCCCAAATATAATCCCCCTTCTGACAAGCGGGAATTCTTTAATCTGGCAATAGTGCTGTGTGATTCCCTTTAACGTGACAGGGCCCCGTCTTATCCCAATTCATCCCCTTTGACAACCCCTATCAAGCACATCAAATGCCTTTCTTTTCCCTCCGTGTCATTCAGCGCAGATTCGCTGGGCTCTGGCGGAGTGCTCCATTTATACACGCTCAGGTGCCGGTGAGGGCTGGCACGGGAGCTGGCACACGAGCGGACGCGTGACTCCGTTTTTATTTATTTATTTATTTACTTTCTCCTAGAGCTGTCGTGTCCTTGGAAGGAATCGAAAGGGGGTTGAAGCCACCGGCAACCACCGCGACATCTGCCAGTGTCCATTTGTGCTTTTATGCCGGCCCACCGTAAATACGGCCGATCGGCCCCCGCCGGCAGGTGGGATATGAAATTAGGGACGGATGAATAAGAAATATGTAAGGCTGGCGGGCTGAAACGTGCCTGCGTGGTGCCGTGTTTTCCTACCTGATGGCGAGCAGCTCGTGTAGCAGGTAGGCTGCGGCAGCCAGCAGGGCTCCCCCGGTGATGTACAGGGTCTTCTTCCACCAGGACTCCGAGCCCAGAGCCGACATGATGCCCCCGTAGTCCTGCAGGGGGAAAGCGATGATGTATCCATACAGCGACTGCTGCTGCTCGGGGCCGCACAGGCCGAGCGGAAGGCTGTGATTCCGCCCAAGTTCGACCACGCACGGCCTTGAGGAGGCGAACCCAGCAGCCCAGTGCATCCTCCCAACTTCGGTTACAACCCTCCCGCTTCCTCCCGGCTGCGGTCGCCGTTAGGCTTCATGGACACGGCCGGCAGGCAGGTCTCTTACGGCATGGCTGCGGGCAGGCCGGCGGCTACTTATCCAGAAAACTGCAAAGTGTAAACATTGCGCCTCCACCCCTCCCCGGGAAGATGCTCAGCACCCAGCTGGCCCTCCTATGCAGGTTCTAGAAATCATTGTTAAGTAAGGAGGACATATAACAAAACCGCTTCCTGTTTGGATTACCAAAATAAATGTTGTAACACTTCACGACTTCATAACATCGAGTTTCGTAACATTTTTTCTTTACTGTTAATATGGGTAGCTTTCTCAAATGTTACACTCCCCCGTGACTATTCAAACGATTGTATAGACTTTGTGACTTTCCACTGGGCCTGTCTTTTCAGAGTCTGACCATCAACATCCACAGTGACCTCAAACCTAATTCTGTTGAAACAGCTTTGATCACTCTCAATCAGAAACAAAGAATGACAAGCTGGAATACAAAACTAACTAAATAAAGAACAAAATAGCAGTAGTTTTGCCACCGCCAGAAGAACTCTAACTAAAGCTACTATAACTTGAGGGTTCATTTAGTGGTTGGATCACTCTCCAGAGGGAGAAGCAGGGGGATGGAGACAGGTGAATTTTTCTGAAAACTATGTTTTTTCCAACTTTGGAAAAATCCCCACTTTCTTGTGTTTCTCACATGACTAAACATACCAATGAAATGCCAGAATCTATACTAAGGCAAAGGCAGATTCTACTAAATGTCTCAAAGATGCAGACGTAAATTAACTCAAATATAAATAATATGAACTTGTAAATTAACTTTACACTACTTTTAAATTAAAATTTTCTAACAGGCTAATACAATCAGGTTTAATTTAATATATTTGGAATATGTTTGTGATTTGTGTGAAGTAACACAGATGCTAAATAAAGATGACTATTATCCGGACATGGAGCCTGACAACGTGTATGTTTTTGGACGGTGGGAGACTCGGGAGAACCGGGAACCTTCTTACTGCGACTGTGCTAACCACCGCGGCACTATTGATTAAAAGTGCCAAAACCTTTATTTTTAAAGGCAAAGAAAAACCATTTCCGGTATGACGGCGTTAAACTGCGCTACCCTGACTCAGTTCAACCATTGTCTCATAAGGAGCCGCCCCGCCCTGACGATGAGGTGGAAGTTTATTTGCTTCTAACCATTTATTGGGAATGTGTCCCAGATGTTTTTTCTGGCTGTTGTGGTCACTCCAATGCTACTAGAGCAAAAGGAAAAGGAAAGTGGCACTGTAGAGTCTAATATACTTAGCCCGATATTTAGATTAATGGTATATTTGTCAATAAACTCTACTGTTAATTGTCATGGAAAGATTTTACTGTGTGTTTGCACTTTTTGGTTATTACTAGAATTGTCCGATGTTCCTTTTCTTTGGTTCCTTAGACTGAAAATGACTGGAAGTCAATGATTTTATTCCTCCTTTAATGTCATCATGTAGTTTGAGAGTGTTCTGAATGAATTTAGTGGGGTCTTAAGGATATGGGTTCTTAGGTGGATGATGTTGAAATGGGATTTGCTTTTGTTGCCCACAAATTCTGATGGGCTGTAGTGGTGGGGCAGCTTTTTCCGTCCTCAATGTAAGGTGGTAGGTGGTACATGTCTTTTGTCATGTGTCTTTTCAGACTTCCCCTCCGGTGTTAATATTTCTTAACCTAGATGCATCTCTACAGTGGCCAAGAGGATGTAGGGTTAGAGGTGGACGTGGTTTAAACTGGGTCTCCTCTTGCTGCCCACAAATTGTGATGGGTGGTAGACCATTTTCTCAGCTGTATTCTTCTTCAAGTCTCGGTGGAGGTCCAGGTAGATGTGCTGTTTCAGGAGATATGGTCTGTGACGATTGTTTTGTGGCACTATCATCCGAGTCCGGATAGGTCTGACTGATCCAGGAAGACATTTGTATGTAATCTGTATGTAATTTGTATGTTCCTCCTTTTTATAGATTTCTTTTTCAATGTTTTCTTTCAATCCATTAAGAACTTCACAGATCCATTTTAAATCATTCTCACATTTAGTAATTCTTTGACTTATTTTGTCAAGTTTCCTAACTTTGGGTTTATCTTCAGGTGGAAGGGGTCATGTTTAATTGTGTGTAAGTCCATTATAAGGGAAGGGATTTTCAAAAAAAAGAACTGAATAAAAGTATCAGTTGGAAAATGGTTCTCCTACATTTCAATACAATCTCTCTCCTGCTTCACCTCTTCAACAATCTCCTAAATTATTTGTGGCTTTACATCATTGATGCCCCATTGATTTTTCCCAAAGAGGCCTAGATATTCACCTGTGTTTTTCCACGCTTGAATATTTGTGCCAACACCTGATGAGATAATGGGCTCACAGGTTGGACCACATGCAGCACTGATCAACTCAACCTTACCAGACTGCCAAGACTTCACCAGAGGAGGAGGACGCACTGACACATTCCACCCTGGAAATGTTTCAAACGGTCCATTATCGGCTTCCCTTTTAAATCCAAAATCGTGAATATCCCACTGACAAACCCTTCCGCTACTGTCACCGGTCACCAGTGTCTTCTCTGATTCATCAGTGGTCATACAGCTAATGGTCACATTATCCATTTCAACCACTCTGAACTTCCTGATTATCCCTCCTTCTGCCTTTACTGACCAAGCTCCAATAAAACAACTTTCTGCGATCTGTATTTCTACTTCTCTGGTCTTCAGAAACAATAATAGGATTTACCTAGGTCTCCTTACAGACAGGTGTTTCTGATCTAGCAAATTGGCAGACACAATACCAGCCTGACCTGTATGTCTAGAATATTCTAGGCAAAGAATCAGCATCCCAAACAGCTACATTTCCATGGCTAGATGCTGCATTCAGGGTGTTGTGGTGGACATCCTCTCAAAGACGAGACAAGGAGTACAGGGACGAGTGTTTTGATCTCATGGTCGTCATGGTGAAGCTTAATGCAGCCACTCCTTCAACACCCAAATCCTCCTCTCCCAAAGAGGTGCTGAAACGATGGTTTACAAAGGGTCATTTCTTCACACGACACCTCAGTTGGTATTCTTCTGGCCACCGACAAAAATGTGTTGCTGAGTCACCTTCTGAACACGTTATATCATATAAGAAAACGGCCCATTTTCAAACGGAGACAGACAAGTTCAAGTCTGTTCTTAAGTACCGTTTAATAAGGTCAAAGGAGGCCACGCTTCACCTTGACCGTGGGTGTAGCCGGCCGTTCCTTTTTTTAGTTAGTGGTCAAACAAAGTGGGCAAAAGTAAGCAGGAAACTTACTCTGGCACAACTTCTGAAGTGCAGAAGGACAGCCATGTCGACGGCTCAATCCAGGTGAGGCGTCGGTCCGTTTATCGTGCATGCCGGGGACTGGCGGGAGACAACTTGGAGGAAAGAGGATCCCGTAGCTTAGTTACATCACCGTCCCCAACCGCTGTGCAGTCGGTAAGCTCCCGGCTGACGTCTCCCACCTGCCGCCGGCGGCCAGGTCGCTGCTGGAAACTCCCGTTTAAGGCCAACTTGGCGAACTAATGATGTGGCGACACGCGCTTAATCCCCTCACCGACTCGCGCCGGAGTCTCCGCCGTAGCCATGGCGACGGTCAAATGAGCCGCGCGGTCCCGCACTTCCGGGGAGCGCGCATTACAGCAGCCAAGCGTTTTATTACACACGGTCGAACACGAGTGGAAATAAACAAAAGGTCGAGCTGAGGACAAGGTGACACTTTTTAAGAGTTAAATGCTAACGGGATACCCTGGACGTCGCCATTAATCGGATACATATAAATCATGTTACTTCAGCAAGTATTTGAAAGAAAAAGTATTTTAAGCGCTTTATTTTTTGTGGGCATGTCGTGGGTCTCTTTAAGAACGTCGCACAAGCGTGACTTATTTGCTGCCTCTGGGAGAGATTTGTGTTATATAATAATTCCACATGAGACCCATTATAATCCCAGAGGAAGTGACCCCCCCCCACCTCTCTCTAGCTGGACAACTCACATGGCTTTAGCTTCTAAAAATGGAAATGAATACAACCATATTTTGTTGCGGCCGAAGGGGAAATAAATTAGGTTTGTCCACTGCTGCCTGCTCTGATAAAGGAGAGGCCCATTTTGGGTGGTCAGTTTTCATGAACAATGTGGCAAAACAAGAGAGAAGACAAAAAGCAGTTTTAGCTGTAAATGATTACAACAATAACCCAGATAACATGTGGTTATTATAAGGCTGCTTTAACTGACAGTCGAGAGTCTAAACAAGTGCCATTTATCTAGTCCTCAGCATTTATTTGAAAACTAAGGCAGCACAGAGAAATCTTAATGCAATTGTGGCTCGACATCTGTGGACCACGTCCAACTCAGTCTGGAGGCTGTTTGTCTCTTCCCTTAAATAAAATCAGCCTTGTGTGCCGGCCGATGGGACATCAGGACTACTTCTGGACAGCTGAATCCGTGTTTTTTCTTTCCTGGCGAGCCTTTGTTTCGGCGCGGCTCAGCTGTGTGCGGCGTGATCCTCTGGGTGGGAGCTGCCGTCCTCCTCACTCCGTTTGACTGCGTGGAGGGCGTAATTGATGCTGGTGCTGTTCGTCCAGCTCCAGGCTCCGGATAACGGGTTGTACAGCATTCCTTGAACAGACTGCACTGAAAAGCCATCTGACAAAAGAGCACGTGAGATAAATATTCGGTTTTTCTCTCCATTAGAATGGGGATAAATAAACAGTGCAACCATTTTTCAGAGATGGTTTAGCTGCTGAACATCATCCTCTAAAGCCCCACTATTGAATTCAAAGAATACCAATTTATTTGTGGTACACCCAGCAGTAAAATGCAATTTTGACAGCTCAGTCAAAATATTATTAAAAATGTTAACAAAATATATTTTTATATAAAACAGATTTAAGACATTTAAACATAAGATTTTTTTTTTTTTATGATTTAATCTTACAAAAAAATGCTAAATTACAGACCACTGAGACCATAAATAGTGTCCAAAGTAGTCATTTAGGAAGAAGAGAGAATTCAATAAACGGTCGAGACCAATTTTCTCGATGACACTTTATTTTTTAATGCGAACACTTTCATTTAATTATGTTTGAAAGGGTAAAAATGCAGACTTACTGGACTCCAGGAGGCGCTCCAGCTCCACAGGGCTGATGAACTTCTCCCAGTCATGTGTCCCGTTGGGAACGATGCGTAGCAGCTTCTCGGCGGCCACAATAGCCAGCGCGTATGACAGGTTGGTTTTATTTATAGTTGTGATGAAGAGCGAGCCGCCTGGCTGCACCAAGAGGGAAAGGAAAGATTTAATCCTCCCCAAAGTGCGTGGCCTTTACTGGATTATAATAAATACTTGGGAAAGGATATTTTATTGACATTCTTGTAGTTGCTGTCACACAAGGAAGATGCACTGCTTTCTTAGAGTCGAGAGTATTCACTTATGGATTTAAAGCTTTCAGTGAACAGAATCCAGGAAGGAAGAGCACCAAATCTCAAGGTTCAATTTGGGAATTGTAACAGTTGGAAGAAAACTGGGGGGTTTATGGGAAATCACAATGTATCAGTGTTAAAACGACAGCAATATGAATGAAATTGTCTCTGCATTTGCTGCTAAAAGCAACATGCATTTAAGAATTTGGGTCAGAACAGGAAAAAAGTCCAAATGTGCTGCAATTTAAAGCCGAGGCGATGGAGATTAGTCTAGTTTACTTTCTCTCAACTACTTTGGCACACTGACCCAGGAGATCATGATCATCTGGCCACAGTACTGATGCACAGCTTTCAAAAGAGCGTAAACCACACACACACAAATACACACACACATTCTCCTGGAGATACAGCACAAATGCAAAGACAACAGTCACCATGTGCATGATGAGAGGTGCTCAGGTGAACACTCAAACACAGATTCTGTGACACAGTTTGATCCTGAGCAAACAGCGGTAAGTGAAAACACACACACACACACACACCTTGAGCACGTTCTGGCAGCTCAGAGCAAACATTTCTAGGTCGGCCAGATGTTCCACGACCTCAGAGGCCACCACAGCATCAAACTGGGCCCCTCCGTGCTCCTCCTGCTCTCCTTCAGCCGCGAGCTGCTCCAGGGTACAGGCTCGGTAGGCCACGTGGTCGGCGAGGTCCGGGTCATGTGACGAATGCAGCCGGGCCGTGGCGATGCTGTCCTCCACCGGGTCTACACCCAGCACGCTGGCTCCCAGGCGGCCCAGGGGCTGGAGGAGGACGAGCAGGGGAAACAGACTGCAGTCAGTTTGTGGTCTCAAATCATGGATTTCACTCCAGGAAACCAACTATGATCCATCACTAGATAAATGAAAGCTTTTAGATGTAAAGGCAGTTTGGCATTCTCTATAAATAGATTCACAAATGCTTCATTAGTCAATATATTTCTTTTTGCAAACTACAGTTAAAATATTAATATATCTCCAGTTTATTCCCTATGACGAGTTTAATTAATTTAATTTCTAATATATTCCATGTGTGAAAACCGCTGAGTAAAACCAACTGAAGTCCCATAATTCCATTGTTTTCCATCATTTTATAGTGATGGAATGAAAATCTACAGGCACCCCCCTTCACCTTTGATACAGTTTCGCCTGACACACACAGCTATGCAGCAGCTGCTGACCATATAGTTTGACCTCTCACGTTCAGTCTTTAATAGGATAGGATAGCCTTGTAACTAGTGGAATAGCGGGAGTGATGGGAAGATGTTTTCAACTTCTTAAACCAAGATCTGATTAACTGGAAAGGATATATGGAAAAAAAAAAGCTCTCACAAGTAAAATGTTTTTTGTCCATTGAGTTTGAAAATAATCCAAACATATCAAATAGAAAATAATAGGAATAGAGTATAGTTTTATGTACTGCAATGCCCCCTCCTGGTTCAAAGCCAGGGGACAATGGGCCGACGTCCATTGTCCCACAGATGATCTATCTTGTGGGCTTAAAGTGACAAGACAGCCGGATACACACAGCTTTTACAATCATAACATGGCAATCGTGTGATTGCGTGTAGATTCAATATGACAGCCTGCACGATGGAGCCATGCACCAACAGGAGCCAACGTTGTCTACCCAGATCACACGACATAGCTGGTATGTCCTCTGTTTGCATAAACGCTGCGTGGCAACCAACACAAACAGATAAACAACTCTGACTCTTTATGTCACAGTAGGCTGAAGCGTTGATTTCCATTTTCATGTGAAAAGACTTACACTACAGCACAGATCTCCGAGAGGAGAGCTGTATGAGGACAGCAGTGGCCGCACACACCTCTGTGAGAAGGCCTCCCCCGCAGCCCACATCCAGGATTCTCAGTCCTGCCAGTGGTTTTCCTGGATGGTGCGCTCTGTGCACGTTCAGCAGATTGTCCCTGTAAAAGCGGAAGAATGAGCCCTTAGAATTCTCCCTGAAGTGTCTTCACACAGAGGCTGTCACAATCCCAGACATTCTCCTTTCCGTTCAACCGTTGACTTGTCTTTTATGTTTTGACTGACAAACCGGGTGTAATGTTTTGGAGTTATCTAAAGACTAAATTAGAGGGGCGGTCATCCAGTCTGTGTGCCTGGTTTTAATCTCCATTCAACTCAGTCTCCAGCTAAACAGAGCTTAGTAACAACTGAAATAATACAGCAAACACACCATGGCAATTTAACGGCGTCCGTCAGAAAAGATCCATCAGCAAAGAGGCCGCAATGCTCATGGAAACGCGCCCTGAGGGCAGAGCCTGAGCAGGCACAACCCCAGCATAACACCACAGGGTGGGGGTGGGGTGAGGTGAGGTGAGGTGGGGGGGTGAACACAGCTGGCTTGAGAGCTGTCATGCTCAGAGATGAGGCTCCCCACATTATCAATCAATCAAAAAGAGCCTAGGCCAGCCCCCCAGAGCACGCATGCGCAATGAATGGGGCTTCTTAAAGGCTACTTTAGGAGCTTTGTGTCGCTTCTGGTGTCCATTCCGTCTGTCTTTACCGTACAAAAGGCACCCTCAGGTCATTCATGGCGTGAAGAGCACCGAACTCCCCCTGTTCGTCCCACCACTTGCCGGCCAGCGAGTGGAACCTCCTGACCTCGGCAGGGTCCACCGTGGTGTGGGAGACTGACCGGACGCTGCACGGGGAAACACAGACGTTAAGGGCGTCAACAGTCCAACCACAGACGACCCCAACTAGTCTGTAAGACCCCCCCGACCAAAGAAACATTCAGGAAGAAATTCAACCTGTACACACACGCATAATTAGTAACCTCCTAATATTATTAAAGCAGTAAAACAACACTAATAATTGTAGCAAAATACGGAAAAATGTCAGTGTCCTGCTTTCTTTTAATGCCGGCGGAAATGTCGGCGTTATTGTCGATTTGACTACGTTAAAGCACCAAATTCCAGCTTCGCCCCCCCACAGAAAAAGCCATTTTCGAGTCCAACACCCTGCACAACAGGGTGTTAAAGACCCCCCCACCTCCGGACGGCTCTGCTAGCTACCCGCTGGGACGCAACTCCATGTCCAGGCGGCCGGTCCTCCGCGGCCGCCTCTGGCACACCGTGGTCCCGCTGAAGCCGCTCCGGCTCGTGGCCCCGCGGACCAGTCCGCACACGGAGGTCGGTCTGAGGTTGTACAGCCCAAACATGAAGCGTCCACACTTGTTTGGGTACATGTCATAAAACTGCGCGGCTTCGCCTTCCGGTCTGTTCTTCTTCGGCTGTGAGTTCAACGACAGCTTCGGTCGGAGTTTTGCTGCCATCTCCTGGGCATTTTTTTACGACATGAGGCGTTCGCGGTTGTCAGAATTGTCCACTTCTACACAAAATCCTGTGATTTATCCCGTTTCCCTTAACACGCTATTTTTTCAGCAACGAATAGAAATCATGGAATAAGAACTTAACAAGAGCTCTGGGTTAGGAGTTAGCAGGTGTTCCAATCATTTGAAAAATGTTTGTAATCTATCCTGCCGCATCAGTTTAGTCCAGGGATGGTTTGAATAGTCAGACCAGCAACAGTGCCAAAAAACATATAGGATGTTCAAAACTTTCTTTCATACACTCCATTTAAAAAGTGGATGTCTTTACACCCTGATTGATGTATTTAGTGCCCTAGGGTGTTTACTTGCCTCCTGTCCTGTCAAACATTCCATTACGTATATTAGAACGACCATTGTATGTGCCAATCTGATTCTTTTATAGGTAGCCTTGAAGTTTTTCAATGCATTCAATAAAGAGCTTATCCATGTTCATTAGGGTTTCTATCAATAATGACTCTCCCTTTCTCTCTTTATATATATACATATATACATATATATATATATATATATATAGACACAGATACATTTTTAAGGGGGTCTATATTTGGGATGTTTTCTTATTTATAAAATTATCGAGTGTGGCAGAAATAGTGTGTAAATATATATATATATGTGTGTATGTAGTGGCCATATCTTCTCAAAAAAAAAAACTAAGGTGGTGCCTGGTTACCCAGGATAAAAGTCAAGTTTGCCTAAACATATCTCATTTTGTGGCAGTTTTGCAGATGTATTTTTTTTTTCCATGGACAAAAGCCACCTGAGCTCCTCCTCATAACCTCAGAGGGAGAGGTTCATTTCTCCGTAAAGATTAAAGAGACATCCACGCAAAACAAGGAACAAACAGTTTTATTGGACATCTTACAATAAGGTGTGGGAGGGGATGGGGTGGGGGAGTTACTCCTGTCATGTTTTAAAATGATACAACCGCAGTTTTTAGTGATTAAACTTTGCTTAGTGAAAGCTCCTACCATTCAAACTGTCTCGTTCTGCAATCACACCTTGAAAATAAGAACATATTTACAATGTAAAACGTATGAGGGGTGTTCACCTACACAACTGCCTCTATAATGAGACAAGCCTGCTCAACTCATGGAATTTAAAATGGTGCAGTGCACAGGTTCCGGATGTTAACTGTGCTTCTCAGCGCCTGCTACGACGGGAGGGGGAAGCCGACCTGAAAGAGAGGCGTGGGTACCACATTAATAATGCACTTACATTTCAGCACACACACTATTCAGACACATCAATGCCACCCTCCCACAAATCATACAACCACAGAAAGACATACAGTCATAATGTGCATGGATATTATTCTACTGAAGCAAATCTACAATGTGGGACACTGCAAAGCCACAAGTGAGCGTGTTTAGTCCCTCAGAATCTCTAAGGCTTCGTCTACACCTCTGTGTACACCATGCAGCAGCTGAACATTTTAACAGAAGCCTGGGCTGAACTATGGCCACACAAACTCATTCATGGCTAACCATCGTCAGGGAAAGGGACCCTTCAATGAATCCTACTTTTCACTCATCGTTTTTTTTTTTTTAAACTGGAAATGAGAAATAACTGACAAATACATGGAACAAACAGTGAGTAAAGAAGGAGAAAAAAACGAATACTACCTTGATCGCGACTTAGACTTGTGTTTGCGGCTTGCCTTCTTACCAGACTTGTGAGATTTTTCCGTCGACCGTGAGCGACTACGTTTGGATTTTTTAGATTTCTTTTCCTTACTAACTTCAGGAGTGGGGGACCTACTGGAGTCAGAGTCTGAGTGCCTCTTGCTAGCTTTGCTGGAGCCCTTCTTGCTGGCTTTGCTATCCTGTCGGGAGCGCTTGTCGCTCTGCGAGTCAGCGGGAGGGTCGGCCTCTTTCCTTTTCTTTGATTTGCCATTCTCCTCTGACGCTACTAGGCTCCCTTTTTCCTTTTCCCTCTCTTTAGCCTTGGGCTTTTCTTTCTTTTTCTCCATTTCTCTTTCCCTATCCTTATCCTTCTTTTTCTTGTCCCTGTCGTGGCTTCGACTCCTGTCCCTCCTGCGGTCCCTGTCTTTGCTGGAGGCCTTCTGCTTGTGTTTGCTGCTGCGGCTGTGGCTGCTGTCCCTGCGCTCCCGGCTCCTCTTCCTCTCCTTGTCCCTGCCTCTGTCCCTGCTGCGACTGCGGCTGGCCCTGGCCCTGGCTCGCTCTCTCTCTCTGGAGCGGGACCTGCTCCTGCGGGCCCTGTGCTCCCGGGAGCCGCTGCGCTCCTTCTTGCTGCGGGCGGGCCGCTCGGCGCTGGCCCTCCTCCTGTCCCTGCCCTTCTGGCTGCGCTGCCTGTGGCTGCTGCGGCTGCGGCTGCGCCGCCGGGCCTTGTGGGAGGAGGAGCGGCTCCGCCTCCTTTTCCTGCGCGGAGAGGAGGACCGAGAGGAGCTACGAGACGAGGGCGAGGAGGAGGAGGAGGAGGAGGACGAGCGGGAGCTGCTATGGCTGGAGGAGGAGCGGGAGCTGCTGCTGTGTCCGTTGGCGGGCGACCCGCTGCCGCCCCGCCCCGACCGCTCCTTCCCTCTGCCCGGCTGCTTGCCCTCACTGCCCTCCCTCTCACTGCGGGACCTCCGCCTGTCTACCGGGGGCTCCGGCTCCCTCTCCTTTTGCTCCTGTCTGTGCGGGTTTTCTGACTGACTCTCATCATATTCCCCCCTTTCTCTGCTCAATCTCTCCTTCACCATCTCCTCTGTAAAAACACAAAGAGTTCGGTTAAGCTGGCGTGCTGGAGACAGCCCCTGTCACTTGAAGAATTACAGGAAATGTACCACATAATTATCCACCATGAGAAGAAGAAAGAGGTGGGAAGTCTCACCACGCGCTAACAGAGCCTCCTGTGAGAGCTTGTCCTGCTGCTGCTGCATCTCCCGCTCTTTGCGGCGGAAGGCGTCCTGCTTCTCCCGGATGCGGTGGCGCAACTCTTCCTCGTCGGTGTCGGAGGACTCAGATCCTCGGGCGCTGCGACCGTCCTCGTCCTCGCTCTCGTCTGAGCCATAGTCACCAAGCCCGCCTGCCACAACAGAGCCCCCCGGTTGTTGAGAGTTGGAAAGGAACTAGATCCTCTTTCACAATCAGGCTCATTTATAAAACCATTAAATCCCAATTTAAGGTCCCATTTAAAGGCACCTAAGCCCGTATAACTTTGTATTCATGACTCATAAACCTCCCCAAGCACAGAGCAAACATTAAAGTCGTAAACACGGGAACTTGTGTGAAAACCTGTTATTACAAGCATGCTTGTGCAAAAACCAAAAAGCAAATAAGATGCTGTTTGCCTTAAATGAGGTTTTGCCCTTGTTCCGGCTAATAGCGTAGTATAATCGAACAATAATCCCCCCACCCGATGACAGAAAAAGGGATACTCACTGAGACCAGTCAGAGAAGCCAGTGCACTTGACTGTGCCAGCTGTTTTGCAGGAGCTTTGATTCACATCAACAACAGGAACAACATGTTAAAACACATACTGCCATTGTCTCAAAGGCAAGAAAGCCGCTAGAGAGGGAGGGGAGAGGGGAAAGGGGAGGGGGGTCAAAGATAAAGCACTATTCACAGGAGCTGCCGTTGGTAATAAGAGAAAAAAAGAAATAAATGAAAGAAAATAAATAAAGAAAAGAGAGAGGGTTAAACAAATATTGTCACACAATCCAAGTCAAACAGTCGGACAGGAGGGAAAGAACCAGTCTGTACTAATGCAGTCCCCTCAGTGGTGGGAGTCACTGGTATCTCCAGGACGGTGCCGGCCAGCCAGTGCCGACACTTAAGCAGGACCTTAAATACCAGCATGAGCAGGTTCCCAAATACTCTTTGTGAACTAGATTCCCCTGCTCTCTCTGGTGCATTAGCAGAGAATGGTTGAGTGTGCAGATCAGAGAAACTCCGATATTTGCTGCTCAATCACCCTTCCTTACAGGGCATGGCGGAGTACGTCAAATAGGCTATCGTGTGCACAACAGATTCTCTCCAGAGTGTAACAGTACAATGAACTGGAAGGACGGGAGCAGACCTCGGGTGGCTTTCCTGTGAGTCTCTCGGGCCACGTGCAAGATCTCTTCGTTCGTGACGGCAAGAAGGATCTCTGTCAGGAGAGTTTTGGTGATGCCCATCTAAACGGGGAGGAAGACAGAAATGTTTGAGTCATCCTGACTGAGAAAGAGTCCTCTCCCCAGGATGGACGGAGTAGTCAAACTGACCAGCAGCTCTTCCTTTAAGTCGTCCGTCAGTTCTGGTTCACTGTCGTCTGCAGGAGGTGAGGGGGTCCGGACAGAAAATTCCCTCTTAACCGAGGTCTTTTCTTCATCGTCATTCTCCTCGTTTGCTTCATCGTCGCTGTCCTGATCCAAACAGACGAGAACACGATTTAAGCAGTGCACAGAATACGGGTAAAGAATATCATTAATACATACAAAAGAACACACAAAAAAGAGCCAGTGATATGTTCTGCATCAATCTCCTCAGCCAGGTGCTTACAAATTTGCTCTTGCGGGGCAAACGCGGGCCGCCCCCGTCTTCTTCCACCTCGTGCTCTTTGCTGTCATCTTTTGCCATTTCAGCTCGCTCCTTCTCCATTCGCTCTCGCTCCATCTTCTTCTGCTTCTCTCGGTCCATCTTTTCCAGGCCCTCTCTGATCCATGCTGGCAGGGTGCGTCTTTTCACAGCATCTACAGTAACAGCAGAGGAAATAATGAGCCAGATTCTGGATATATACAATACTGTTTATTCTATCGTGGGGTATCACTCATTCAAGGGATTTCTTCTCTTATCTGCAGTTTTATGGAGATTGTATAAAGCAGCAGAAAAAAAGTGTTGAAAGTGTTGAAAATTAAGCATGACTCACCCAGTGGTGCCGGGGCTTCTGGTTTGACAGGGATCTGTATCGGGGACCTGGGCCGCTCTCTAAACCCTGGGGGCCGGGTATCCCGTCTGTTCTGAGGGGGGCCCTGCCAGTATGGAGAGTGAAAGCCTGAAGGAGTGGGGGCGAAGGACGAAGCCGCGCCATGCTGCGGGGAAACAACGCAGAGACCAAATTAAAGGTGGTTTAAAGTACAGAGGGCTCTCCTTTTTCTGTCAGCTGACGGCAGGCCATAGTCTTAAAACATTAAGATTAGTGGATGCGTATTCACCATCCCTGCCTGGATTAGACAGATTAGATTCAACTAAATAACAGAATAGCTACTTGAAAAAAAAATAAAGCCAAACCATGCTGAGCCCTCAACAAGCCAAAACTTTCCTCTGCACAGCCTCAAGAAAGAACATGATGGATACACCTAGATGCAGGGATCCGGCACAGTTTCTGTGGATTGCTTCTTCCTCTGTCACACTAAAACCAAAAAGCTTCAAGATATTCTCCTGTAGCATCTGCATACCTGATAGTCAAACTGGTTCATGGCCATGGGGGCCATGGCGTAGCTGTCGGGCTGTGCCCCATACCCATGGCTGTTCTGGGGGTAAACCCCGTGGTGGGCTTCAGAGTTGAACTCCACACTGTCCTGGCTGTTGCTGTCCTCGCTGGGGTTCACCACTTCCATTGGTCCTGACCCTGGAGGGATCCACGCCTGGTCTGGGGGTGGAGGAGGAGGCGGGGGCTGACCATGAATTCCCCACTCTGAAAAAAAACAAAAACACAAACATCAGCAGAACACCTTATACATTACATTTTTATTTTACATAGTATGACTGAACACAAGCACTTAAAATAGGGTCAAACATAATATTTGTCTTCCTTTGTGTGTGTATTTAACACACACAACAGAGAATTATGTAACTTCTCCTCCCAAAAACAAAATATGGGGGATGGAAAAGAACATTCACAGTTCCTAAAGTGCGAAAAAAGACATTTAATCATAACCAAAAACCCTGTCTTTAGGCTAAAGGAAATGTAAAGGAATTAATCAAATCTGTGTAGAGTCTGGTTGTTTAGGTTCAGATGCTAAAGCACTCAACAGGAAAATCTGTTCATCTAGAAGCAGTGACACAGTCCCAAATTCAGTTATGTGGATGCATTTCCATTGAACTCGGCGTTTAACTCCAAAGAAGTTGTTGTTTGTTTTTTAACTCGTAGCTTTGATCTTATAACAGCTCTTTCCTGCCACGTTTACTTGTAGACCTCGACTCTCCTTGTAAAAATGGAGGTTTCTGTTAAAAGGACACACCAAAAGCATCTTACCAACGCTCCTGGCATCAAAACGCAGATGCTGCATACCTGGCTGCCATACTCGACCGAACGGTGGGTCACCCTGGAAGGCTCCGTGGTTACTCTGCCCCACAGGCTCCAGGCCAGGGATGTCCTGGCCATTGGGCTGGACGTTGGGCGGCGGTGCTCCCGTTGATTCTTTTTGGGCTATCCATGCCTGAGCCAGTGCAGCCCAGTCCACTTGACCTAAACAGACACCCAGGGGTTTAATATGCACCTGTGCAGAGTTAATAATAAATCCTGACTGAAGAGCGTGCACTTTATTAATTTGCAACACAGATTGTTTGTGGGTGTATTTGCACCATTCCCAGACCTGGGTCGTGCTGGTGTTGAAAAGACTGCATCCACTGCTGCTGGCTCAGAGGCCACTGCGGCCAAGGCTGTCCTCCCTGGTCCCACATCACCCCTCGTTTTAATAGCACCTGTAAAATCCAAATAAGCAACGTTTATTTTTAGTTGACTTTACGTTAACGACTGGGGCGTGTCTGCTATAAAATTACGCTCGACTCATAGCCAGAGAAATGGGCTTCAGTTTGGGGTAGAAGCGCTAACGTTACACCCGGTTCACAAGTTAGCTTGACATTAGCGATGCAAGCTAAATAAAGACTATTCATTTGGCGGTAATGGCTATTTACGCTGTGAATTACGAAATGTCCTGTCAGTCCAAAGAGTGACCCTGTAATAAAGCGTGGGTTGTTTAAATGCCATCCATTAAGAATGCCTGGAGTCATGAGGTAGAAGCTATAAAAGCTCGCCCGAGCTAACATAAGCTAAGTCAGCTATGCTGCATCGTAACGATTTGCACGGCGTAATAAACGGAGATTTGAGACTGCACAGATGTGCATTTGCGTTTAAAATCCAACATAATCAAAGGCTTGACCGAAACGAACTCCTACATCGATATTCAATACCCACAACTCCCACCTTTTCCAGTTGGTTTTTCTCCGGCGTTGCTGTTCTAATTCAAAATGGCTGAATTACAGAGCTGCTCGTAGGAAGTGTGAAGAGAAGCTCTGCTGCATTCACGGGCTGTTGGGAATGTTTGGTTTTTTATCTCTATGAACATTCATAGTGAAAAAACGGTGCCCTTGACGGGGAAAGCATTTACTTGCAAGGGCACAAGAAGGGAATACAAGATACTTTTAAAATCAATTTCACATTCTGTACGCACTCAGATATATATATATATATATATATATATACGTATGTGTCATGTCTGAGCCTGTACCTACGCCTTTCACCATTGAAAATATTATTACGATACATGATTATCCACAAACTTAATGTCTAATTAGTCTTTAAGATATTTAAATATCAGGATGAGCATAATACCTTTAATAATACCATTAATTAGACCTAATGTTAATAATTCTTCATTGAAGTAGGATCGTACCACCAGCTGTGAAGGCAGCACGTGCGGAGGCAGGTGCTGGTGAGACGGGTGAAACTGGAAACGGAGATGCCGGGTATTTTAGAACTCTGGCCATCAGACACGTCATTGATTCAGATGAATGACTCCTTTATGTGAAGAGCTGCGAAGAAAATGAAAATGCTCTTTTCAGTGCTAAATTTAGCCTTTTCCGGCCATACCTGACAACAAAGCCTTCATTTGGGTCACGTGAGAGTTATCTGCCCATTTTGCCATTTTGCGAACATTTTCTAAGAATTAAGATGCGTCAAAGTGATCATGTCCCTAATGGTGGTCAAGTACAGCAAACTGAATACAAGTGAGATTTAGCTGTTTTTCATTGACAAAAAGTTACAATGATAGGATATTGTGTGGTGTTTAGCAATTCTACCTCCTACCTATTTCCATTTTACAAAGAAAATATCTTGCATAAAATGTATTCCTTGTGGGTGCAGATACCACAACATTCAAATGCATATACATGTTATATTGTAGCCTGATTGATGTGCATGCACCATGTAGATAGTTATATGTAGCAAATAATGTATTTAGAAGTCAAACATATCAACCTTCCTGTGAAGTATTCAAGTTTTAATGCCTCTGCAGAGTAAAGGTTTCCCTTTAATTTACTAATGTTTAATCACAACACAAGTCTTTTAGGTGTAGAATGACAAAACCTAAAAAACAGCAGTCAGGCCACAAATTCTAGAGTGATTTCAGCATCTCTTTTGTCAAGTTATCAATTGATAAAAGTATTTATTTTTCAAGAAAGGGCCCTCCATCTCTCTCAGGCTTGTTTCTGCCTAATGGTTCATTTATCCTGTTATGGGATTTATCCAATCATCAGTTCCTCTCTGGCAGTTTCCTTATCAACCACCAATGTTTCACAAAGAGACCTCTTTGTTTCTCTGTTGGAGCAGAACCACCATCGAGAAATCAGATGTTTATGTGGCCACTGACTGAACATCAACATTGATTAATTAAGTCATTTAAAACGTTTGTTCAAACCAGTGAGTGAATTCAATCGATTTAGCTCACAAGCACGAAGCGTCTGGTGCTTTCACTTTAGAATAAAGTTTTAAAGAAAGTGTCGCGTTAATATAATGACTAATGATCAGGTTTTGTGCTGTAATCCTTGAGTAAAGGTAGAATCTGTGCTTCCCTCTGAGCTGGCTGCTGATGACATGACTGATTGTTGCAGAGGAAAGACTAAATATTATTTGAATTACAGAGACTTTATGGGTAATGAGGCAGACGTCCTCATCTGGAGGACTTTGACAACAATCAGACCACCAGAATCCAGCAATGCAAATTTTATGGATCTTAAAAAAAAGAAGCTATGTCCAGTGGATTCAGCTCCTTTTTTGATTGGTTGCTGCAACACTCCTGCTGCTTTTTGTCTGAAGATTTTATTTAATGTTTTGTTTGTTTTGCTTTTATAAAGCTGCAAAATATGTCTTTGGTATCTCTGTGTTACCTACAAACTTTTAAGATTGGAGAAAATGAAATGGAGGACCAGGCTGTCATTGGATTGCTTTACATAGAGATCAACCAGTAGAAGATCATCCTTTTTTCAGAGCTATATTTTGGCCTTATCTCAATGTTTTTTTGGTTACAAAAACTACAACTGTTTTTCTGGCAGCTTTTCAGCTGCTCACTGATCATCCTGCATACCTCATCCTCGTGAATACCTGTCTTTAGTTACATAAAATGCTCTTTCCGCATATGGACTCTGCTCATTACACTTTGTGTGTGCGCTCTACGAGAAGATAAAAGTAATTTTCTATTGTCCACTGAGGCTCTTGAATTTTGTGGACATTTTATGTGAAAAAAAAACACAACAAATGTAAGATCTTGCTGCAGGAATCCAGAGGAAACCTCGTAGCTGTTCCACAGCGATGTCACTGGAGTCACAATCAGTTAGCTGTGAAGTAATCTAAACTTGGAGAGTTCTTAAGAATCCTTTCATTTTTTTTGTGCTATAGCTTTTAAATGGTTAGCAAACACAACTGAATCTCAGATACATCTGGCAGAGGTTGAGATGCATTGTGGGAAATGAATGAGTGAACAAAAAAAAACAATGGAAAATGCGCTTGGCCTGTATTGTATCGTCCTGATTCTTTCTTAACTAATGAGCACGCTCAGTCAGAGGTCTGGGGGGGGGGGGGGGGTCAGGTTTTAAGTTTTTGTAGTAATTTGAATAGTGAGTGATTAGATTATGCCACAAATGAATCCTGACAAAGTAAACTTAATACTGCAGGGCCACAGGAGGGCAAAGCCTTTCTGTTCAGAAAATGTCCAGTTTCTGCCCTTGATGGGGATGGATATGCATGTGTGGTTAAAGTGACTCTGGTAAGGGTGCCACCGTTTCTCTCGTGAGGTGAGGCCGACAGTGACAGCCTCGTGCATGGTGAAGAGGGAAAAATTTAACCTCCACTGCTGGTAAAGGAGCAGTCCCACAGCACCTTATTAGTCTCTTACAAGTGTCTCCCAGAAGGGGGGGGGAAGGGTGTCTTTCATTAAGTGAGATTAAATCACATCAGACGCCTCAGCAGCATGTCCTGAAGCCAAAACCCCCTCACAGTCCCCCGTTAAAAATAGAGAAATACATTTCAGGAAGCATTTGCTCTTTCCGTTGGTGGCTGCCTGACAACCGGTCGTAACATCCCGGCCGTGTGACAGGAGGGGGGGGGTGTCACGGCGCATGGGAGGGAGAGGACGTGCGAGGCGATGCTTTTCGACATTGCCCTTTTCCCCGATTCCACACCCACCTCCTCTTCACCAGCCCGCGACATGTTCGGAAGCAGTGCTGCTTTGCACCCGTCAGGGCCGATAACAGGCGGAGATGGCTGGAATATGGCACCCCCGGATCCGCAGTGACGGCAGCGTGACACCAATTCTAAAGATGGGGAAACGTTAAATCCATTGTGATCTCTCTTTCAGGAAACGCCGCTGCATGAGAGGGGAATAACACAAAAAACAAACCAGTCTTCTAAAGTGAGAGTTTCATAAATCGGATTTATTTCGATTCAGCGTGTTTTATACTCATTCCAAATGTTTGATTTTCAGTTTTTTGGGGGGAACAGAGCACGTTCACACCTGAAGCACCTTAGGTTTCATATTGTGTCTACTATATACAGTTACATACGCTCCATACTGTTTCTGTTTACAGTCTATCATTCTGTACATCAGCAAAACATACATAAACCTCTTTACATTCTTTAGACTCGGCATGTCGTCTCCTCATCGTTGACAGGATTCTTCAGCCTGAAGCAGAGGCACTGAAATTCATCCTTGGTTAAAATAAAATTATTAGAGAAAGAAAGATGTGAAATCCTCCTTCTTGCATTGTTTGGCAAATGCGTGATGGGCTGGAGAACAATTGAAAGAAACTGATAAGAAGTTTCCCCATATTTGGAAAAAAAAAAGAAAACAATACATTCATCGGTACAGTAACACATGCAAATATGTTCTTCTATATGAGGCTCAAAAGCCTTTTGGCTTATCCTTTTTATATATAAACTATTTTGTATTTCTCTCCACCTGGCTAAAGGGTTTCGGGATTTAAAACATCTGTTGGTGTTTGCATTAACATCTTTCAGGATTTGTGTGTGCGCTTACAGAGAAGGCAGACGCGGCGTTTTGTTAATCTGATAAACATCATATGAGTCTCTTTTTATGATGATCTTGAGAGAGAGGGAGAAAGTGAGAGACAGAGGTAGGGAGAGATAGAGAGAGGGAGAGGGCCTGTTAAAGAAACTGAAAAAGTCGGCTGTGACCCGACTCTTTGGCAAAACTCATCTGACTGACAGTTGTGGAAGTTTTTGTATAAGAGTCTTAGTCCGTCTAAGGAAGCAAGGAATAGAAATTTATAAGGAGAGAATTAACTTCATGAAGTGAGAGTGGGTGAACAGTACGACATACAAAGCCGCTCAGATTGTTCAGCATTTTGCACTATTATTTACTGCTAGCAGAATTTACCAGCAAGGCCTAATCTTCCTTTAGGAGAAGGTATCTTGTGAACACTGTATAGTAGCATTCTATGGGTAAATTTTTTATGTCAAATCATAGTTGTGCGATCACAATTTGAGTGGAACAGTCCTCCTGTATCTGTGTAGAACAGTAAACAGTAAGTAAACAGTAAGTGCTGTCAAAATACAAGTCATTTTGAAACAGTTACATTTAGGATGATTGTTTTTTTCCCTTTACAGTCGAACATTCATACATTCTGATATGTAAAAAAAACAACAAACAACAAAAGGAGAGGTGTGCTGTTATATGACCGCTTTGCCTACGTGTCGTGTAAATGAAAATATGATTGTTTTTTCTTCCGTTTCCTTTGTGCCACCATGAGCAAACAAGGCAAATTTTGCTTGATTGACCATTAAAAGGATTTCCAGACGATTATCTTAATTCTAATTTTGTATTATCTGCCATAGGTACCTGTGGCACCTTTGAGCTACATTCGCCTGTCTTTTATTCTCTCAAACACACCCACACACACACACTCACTCACGCACAGGAACACCTGACTCCGACAAGCCAGTGCTGTTTGTAGTTCAGCATGCGATAAATCTGCGCATTTCTACTTAATTATTGTTGCAAACTCCATCATGCAGTTCAATCTCAGTTGTGTAAATGCAACTCAAAGATAAATCACAAATATTGAAAAGATTAAGATTCAATAACACGCCTTTTTTCTGACACCCGTTTAAAGTCAGTAGTCTTATGGAACAGGAATAAAAACCTGGATTATAAACCAAAAATAATTTTTTACACATCATTAACTTTTGTAGGTGTCAACTTATGTGAAGTGAAGCTTTTCCCTTTTCGTTCCTCCAGCTTCTCACAGATACACGAGAGGAGCTGGAGTTTCTTTAGCAAAAAAACAAAAACAAAAAAACCCAACGGAACAGATATATAGGGGGAAAAAATATTTTTACTGGTCACGTTACAGCATTTCTTCGTAGAAGAGCAGGTATGCCTGAGAGCTGAGTACCCTCGACTCCGGTACCGTCTGAACAGTGGTGTCACTGACGTACACCCACTGGCCCTGGGAGCAGCTACCGGCTTCTCTGGCACCTAGAAACACACACAAAGTATCAGTATCATGGAGTACACAGGCTAATATTGTGTCATAATGTGCAACGTCATGCAATCTCAAGCATCAAGCAGATGAAACTCAGTTTTCAGTTTAAATATAAACATTTAAATCAGAGAAAAATCTCATACACGTGAAACTTTTTTTTCTTCTTAAAGCTATGGTTCTGGCGCTCAAAAGCAAAAGCCCTGGACAGTTCGCCAGTCCATGGCAGCTGAATGGAATAATCATCTCTTTGTTGCTGGTGTATGATTCTAAATCGTCCAGTTCACAGTAATCCTAAGACTTTGGGTTAAGGCGACGGGACTACTTTTTGGTCCATGAGAACATTTTACCTCTCATACAAGAAGCTTCTTCAGCAGTGGAACGACAGAGGTTCATTAGGACACAGATGTGGATATTGGGTCAGTGATATAGCGAGTCTCCACTGGCGATGAAGTTGGAATACGAGCAACAAGTGATGTGACATCGAAAGGCAGAATTTGTTCCCCTGATGACAGCTTCAGATCTTGGTTCTGAAAGTGAGGTTCTGTGTATGATGCCGACTAAGGTGCTTAAATGGAGGTGAGGCATTTGGTAATGTAGCAGACAGAGTTGATGCTTGTGGCGAAAGGCCTGAGTAGGACTCCCTCCTCGTGTAGCTTGGGAAATCTATAGATGCATGAGGCGGTAAAATTATCTGTGCTCTGATAGTTGTTTGTACAATCCCTTTTCAGAGTCTTGTAGGTGAGTGTATGACAAGTCCTATATTAGCTTGTTAGCATCAAGGACAACTGCTTCCTCGGGTTTATTCAACTTCCTTTCAGAACTATTCTGTGAATCTGGACAGTCTCCTTGGGAAAAAAAAAGGAGACGAAAAGAAGGAAGAAAAAACAACATGGCTCCGTAAAACTCAAAAGCCGCCATTCATTAAGTCTTCAAGGTCTTCAAATGTTCACCTCTTTCTTAGACCTCATGCAAGGATCACACACACACACACACACACACACACACACAAAAAACACAAAATAAGAAACTAAGGACAGACTGTATTAGATTAGTTTGAAAGAAATGACCCCTGACCTGACAGGTTCTTGTGGTGTTGTTCTGACTTCCTCTGTGGTGGACGCACTTTAACGTAAGCTGTGTAGTGCCCGCCGCGCATGGAACCACTGTGTTCAACAATCCCATAAAGGCTGTACAGGACGCGCTCACCGGCTGCCAGGTTCTAATAAAAAATCAAATTAAATAAAAATGAGTTAAAAAAAGGGAAATATAACTAAAGACTGGAGTAAAAGACCAGAACCGACCAAGGACAGACACACGTATTAGTACGATTCAAATAAAACAATATTTGATGCATGATGGTTCTCTTAAATGCGAGGTTTAAAGTTCCTTTTCCATTTTTCACCGGCTCTAATTCAGACTTATTTGGGTGTTTTGCAGCAGCAGAAGTGACGGATAGACACCTTGCAGGACGCCGAGCAGAATGGAGCCAGATCCAGGATCAGAGGAAAGTCCACATGGCGATTCACCTTCCGCAGGTTCATTCCTGCCTTAATGCACACGCGAACACATAAAAAAAAGAAGAAGAGTAGAAAGAAAGAAAAACAGGTTAAAGAAAGCGCAAAACCCGAATACGAACGGCATTCAAATATCCCAGTCCCGGCAGGGAGGGGGGCCACCTGCCTACCTGGTGGAAGCGTTTCAGGTGCAGCGTGATCACGGGGGGCAGCGAGGATATCAGCATCTGCTTCCTCGCACTGGTGTAAATCTTTTCCACCTTCTTATCTACGTGAAAAAACAAAAACAAAACAGCCTCATGTGGACCTGAAGAGCTCAAACGATCCCTTTCCGGCCCTGCGGTGTGTTTGGAACATTGCGCGCTCGGTTCGGGTGTGAAAAACGAAAAAACCCCACCGACTGGTTTCGTCCTCGCTGAGGTTTTTTTTCCGCCCCTTTACCTGCTGATCCGCTCCTGCGCTGCTGCAGCTGCTGCAGCTGCTGCTTCTGCCTGCGCTCGGTGCAGTTCTCGCAGAGCAGCTTGTTGTTGCCCATCAGCAGCTCCACGGAGGTGAACTGGTGGAGGCAGGACTGGATGGAGCACTCTTTGGAGCTGGGCGTGTAGCTGTGGGACAGAGCCTGAAAGGCGCCCTGGTGGTGGTGGTGGTGGTGCTGGTGGTGGAGGTTTTCCCGGGCGTGGGCGTGGGCGTCCCCCTGCTCCTCGGGGGGGCTCGGGGCGGCGTCCAGGTTGACTTTGGACACGGCCGAGACGAGCTGCTCCACGGCGCCGCCCGGCCTGCTGGAGGACGAGGGCGAGGCGGGCGTGGGGGACGGCGTGAGGGTGGTGGCCGACGACGGGGTGGAGGCGTGGCTGTGGGCGTGGCCGGAGGGGCGCGGGGTCCACTCGCTCTCCGAGGCCTCGCTGTCGGCGTCGTTGCTGCTGTCCTGGGCGCCGGAGTCCCTTTCGCTGCCGTCCGACAGGCTGCCGGCGGCCGCCATCTTACACACGGAGACGCCCCGGGCGCAGGCCGCCGCCGCCTCCTCCTCCGCCCGCTCCCCGCCGCAGCCTGCTCCCCGCTCCTCCACCGAGCTGGAGGACCTCCTGCGCAGCTGCTTCTGTGGACGGGAAATCAAACAAATGAGATCCATTTAGTTTCTCACGTTTGGCTCTTTTATTTCTTTCCCCAGCCGACCTTTGCCTTTTTTAAACATGCTGCACCTACATTTCTGTCCATTTCACTTTTGCATGGATTTTGTGTAAATGAAAACCAACCCTAATGTACGACTTAACTAAATGAACACTAAAAATTATGGCTACACAGTAAAAGTATAGTGGCTGTGGGATGCTCAGACACAATGCTGAGAAAAAAGGTGAGAAAAACAAAAATCCAGATAAATACGTAATGTGCCTCAGCAGTGTTCTACATGTGGTGCCTTGTAGTAATCCTTATATATCTAGATTTTTGAATCCCATAACAAAAACATATGGGACAGAATGGAAAATTCAAACAGTGACTCCTACATTTATTTTACCAACATGAGATAACTTTTGTTTGTTCTTATCAACATATTTTCTGTTTGATAAAATGCAACTTTTTTTCTTTTTTTAAACTTAGGTCCAGCAAAACATTCCAAATAGGTTCATGTTGGGGAATGTATTGCTAATTATTGTAAAACAATCAAGTTGCATCAACATTCAATTACAATTTGACAGTTTGCTAAAACAAAAGTTATAAAGCAAAGCTCCTAAATGACGGGAACTGGAATGGATTTCTCTCTCTACACTAAATAACATCATTAAAAAAAACTAGACAACAGAGAAGAAGTTCCTTATCAGTTAAGTGTGTCAGTGATTCCAGTACCTGCCCGCTCAGCTTCCTGCTGTTTTTGTTGGCTGGGTGCGACACAGAAAGGAGCTGGTCAGTGTGGGTGTCCTGCTCCCGGCTGCCCTTCCCCAGCCGACCGGGATTAGACGGTTTTGATATCTGAGAGAGACATTCGAAACCAGCTAGTACTTGTTTGATAATTCGGCTAAAGGCTATCAAAGATAAAGCGCATCACAATGACTCACCCTCTCCTCTATGATGGGTAATGAGATGTCTATGAAGGCTTCCTTTACCGTTGAGATCTGAAAGAGAGATCACATCAATCTAGATGAAATCACAGCACAAGTAAACGTTCTTCCCTTTAAATACTTATAAACCTTTTTTTAAGGCTGAGCTAAATTCTGCTGTAGGTCTTTAGTGCCTCTGAAAGGTGGAGATAGCCGTTTGCCGGCGTGGCCCTCTCCAGCTCTCTCCCTGGAGGGAATTGCGCTATTTTGCAGTGGCACTTCTTTTCTCAACCACCTTGAGCACTTTGTGCAAAATGCCGCCTGTAAAGCGTTGGTGTTTGAGCTGGTCCTTGAAAGGTTTTTTTTTTTCTTTTTTTAATTTGTTTTGTATTGACATCTTCTTCATTTCCTTTTACTTGTTTTCAGTGCGTGACCGTCTCGACTTCAGCGGGGAAAAAAAAAAGAGAACGAATAAAAGGATTAGGGAAATGATAAATGCCAGTGCCAATGGAAATATTATGGCGATGCGGTGAGCCTCTTCTAGCTTTCATTCGCAGGAATAAAACACAACAATGCAGATGGGAAAGGTTTCGCCGCGTATCTTGACTGGGTTACATATTTACTGAAAAGCAGCTCCTGTCTGAATGAGCTGGTTGAGGCAAGTGTTTGTTTGCAGAGACCACACAGCACAACACACCGAGCCGTGCTTGATTGGCTGGCCCTGGTATTATTCTCATTCCCTTTTGTTTGATTCGCCCGCAAACACTCACATGCTCGCACTCTTCACACATGATTGTGTTGGTAAGCTCGCCCACAAAGATGCGGTCAACAAAGTTCATCTTCACGCCTTCTTTTCCGTACGCTGATGGGGAAAAACAAAAACAAAAAAAAAACAATTTTCAATATAGTAAGTTTGAACCTAGAACATTCATAGACATACCAAGAAGGTCTTATGAAAGCTTTAGAAGCACTTGGTAATATCTTTCCTTGAAATGAAGATAACTATGATAACTAAAAATAAAAAAGCTAATATAATTAGTTAGTAAATTACTTCACGGGTAATAAAAAACGCATTTCTTAAGAGCAGCTGCAAGGTTAATCTGTGAAAGTGCACGCCACTTTCTCTGTGCTGGTTCAGAAACTGTGCTTCGATCATCTGCCACAAGGTGGGAGTATTGATCTTAGACTTCTGCTGTGTGACAGTTCATGTAAACCTTTGACTTGGCGTTTGGTCTCCTCGTCTGCCGTCTTCTCTGTGGGATTGTTGAAAGCCTTTAAAATGCCCCCTTTCACCCTCTGTGGACAAACAAAAAAGGTGTAAAGATATTTATATATCAACATCTTTCAGAAGGATTAAAGAAGTTAAACTGACTTTCCTTCCTATAGGCTATTGTTGTTCTTTACATGACTTTATGGCACCTATTAGTGATGTATATCACAATCTAGCCTGCAGCTGAGTTTGACAGGTATAGCCATTATAAGCATCATTAGTGTAAAAAATAATTATTGTCCTTGTCTAAAATTGTTAACATGTAAATCTCTTAATTAACCGTGCACATTTGTGTGTGTGCATGTTTTGCACAGGGCCCTCTGATTAGAGGCGACGTGGTCAGTGAGTGTGTTGGCGACAGAGCTGTGAAGAGGAGCAGCCACAGTAAAGCACCAATCGATAGATAATTGGCCGCGGCCTGTGTCTGAGTCCAGACCGATCAGACCCCATTGTCCCGGGACCAATGCACTGGACTGGCTATTTAGGTCAAAAGAGCCCTGTTAATCCCATCCGGGCCAGTCTGCGCCCCACTCAGCCGGCAAAGTCAAACCAGGCTGTGGCTCGCCGACTAATTAATTACCAGCAACCCCCACGCGCCCCCTTCTCTCCCCAAAAGTAACAGCGTGCGGCGTCCCACACGGGATGGGCCGCGGGGAGGGGGCATCGGGGGTGTGAGAGGGTCTGCTGGTGCAAGGGTGGAGGCACGGAAACTAAGACGAAGACAAGGCAAAGAAGCCCAGTACATGCCCTGGGAGAGAAATAACTACCATCTCAGCTAATTGGTGGTAACTGACTGGGAGCCAATTAGCATATTCAGATCCCTGATACTAATGGCCAATCAACACAAACACTTAGGGCCTCTAAAAGGTTAGTGACACACAAACATAAAGAACCGGTCTCTCGCTGACACACACTCAACGCCCGCATACAAAAACTGCAATCAGCTCTGGATTCAAGTTCGACTTCAAAAATGTGAGAGTGATTGTTTCTTTTTTTTTTTTCCCACTCCCCAGGACTGAATTAGTGATATTTGGTTTACAAAACGTACAGTGCTAAATGTTTTGGTTGCGTTTAATGCTCATCTGTGAGATGTGGTCACCTTTAGTTGGAGTAAAACACACATGGTATCACTTTAAAAATTACAGATAAAACTGAAATGGTGAAATGCTACTATAGCGCTTCTGTAAAAATTAGTTTGCGAGTGAATGAATAGAGGAGCCGCCACCCCCCCCCCCCTCCTGCTCCCCGCCTTTTTTACATTCTTGATTGGATTGGGAAACTGATTGTGTGTGTGTGTGTGTGTGTGTGTGTGTGTGTGTGTGTAGAAGGGGGCAGTGGGCGAGCCTTGAGCACAATGGAGCGGCCCTGGAGCTCATTCAGCAGCTGTGGGTTTCCCAAGATCACACAATAATGTCGGCCGTGCCACTTGAAACTCCCTAAGTGGCACAACTGTTCGCGTTCACAAGTTTGAATAGAAGCAGGGGGAGCCCAGCCTGTGGCCCCTCTCGGGCCTGAGGCTGACCACTAAACACACCCGCTAACTTCTCCTCCTTGGCTCATGCAGTCACTGGTGGGCTCTCCAAAGAGCTGCTGTGGGGTCTCCTAATTGCCCTGTGGAGCACTCTTTTTGTGCGTGTGTGTGTGTGCGTGTGTGTGACGAGAACTGGTGATCCAATCATAATTGTTGTGCTGTTTTACAAAAGAGCAAACAGCAACTGAAAAACAAATGATTAAAAATTGTGCTTTTCAACTAGGAATATCAGTGTGAATAAATTAATATAAGAACTACATAACGTAAAAGAAAGCTTTCTCGTTCCCCCTTGTTTCTCTATCTTGCACAGAAAATGAGAAATAAGCGCAGTGAAGTGCTGATAAGAGCAAACCTGATTTAAATCCTTACTGTCAGATTTCTATGGTCTTTTGGAATAGTTCTCCAGGCTTTGCAAAAAGTTTAAAAGTTTACACATGAAAATAACACAAAAGGTCTGAAAAGAACATGAAGATCCTCCTAACATCAGACAATAATGGAATGCTGACGCGCGCAAACTCACTTTGGTTTCCTCAACACGTATGGAGTCCAGCAGGTAGTGCAGAAGCTCCTGGCTGTCTTGCTGTTGGTAGCCCTTGAAGCGTGGAGCTCTGTAAGAACAACAGCAGAACAACATAAAGATGTGCAAAAGTTGAGGAGAACAAAGGTCTGAGGGAGGGGGGTGAGAACAAACAAATGACATTATGTGAATCTGTAACATTAAGAAAAGACTCCATTGTTGGCACACAAAACACAAGACAAATAAATAAGTTGAAGAATCCGAGCACGCAAACAAAAAGCAGAGACTGATCAAGAAAAAAGGAACAAAAGATACCTTTGCCAAGGCCCTTTCCATGTTTTTTACCGTTTCATAATACAATTCTACACAGCAACAAAAGATGTTCTTATTTTTCTCACACCTTTAGTGCTTTTTTTGTTGTTGTCATGTTCACTGGTGAATACCAGGGGACTGAACAATTCCACGTTACAGATATCGCAAGGAGCATTAAACAATTCAGCACACATATTCCATTCCAAAAAATGCGAGATATCATAAATTGGGCCATAAAACAAATTAGGTTAAAACTGAAATCTGCGTATCAACTCATAGGTGTGAAGGCTGTGATGGGGGAAAAACACAAGAAATAGAACAGCAGAAAAAGGATGCCACCACCTTCCTTGACAACTGAAAGTTCTGTTTCATTGTCATGTAAACATAGATTGCATTAGACTTTTTAAGAGTCATAAAAATTATCATTTTTTTTAACGAAATTTTTTTCTATAAACAGATCCACTGAGGCAAAATTGCAGGAAAAGCTCACCTATTTGACATTTGACAACCATTTAAAAAAACCCACTAACGCATATGTACAGCAGAACGCGCTTTGGCCCTTCTTCTGGCCGTCCATGATGAAGCAGATGTGCAGCCAGATGCTAGGGGCAGATTGGTAAACCAAGGCTTAAGCCACTGAAACCTGTTGTGTCCAGCTAGCCACATAACTAATGGACAGGTTGGTCAGACGGGCTTGTATACACTGGAAAAAGTCATCATGTAAATGTTAATACTGTTCAAAGGGCTGTACTGGATTTATCTATCTACCTTTAAGGATCTTTCCTGATGCCTCAGGTCTGTGCAGTGTAGTGAAATACACTACTCTGATTCCTTCACACAGTAGACAAACGGTAATGATGAATATGATGTTTTCCTGAACTGAGTATAGGCCTAAACCGCTCTCAGTGCCTGGGCAATTAAACGGACCACATTTATAAATCTACACACAGAAATAATAATTAATGTACTAATTGTTTAGAATGGCTTTCCAGGACTAGAGGAGAAAACTGACCAAAACACATTTTAATCATTATGTTTTGAAGCGACTGGAGTCATCCTCACACCCTTATACCCACATAATCCCTGTTTCTTGTCTCTCTTTTTATTGGAGGATGAAAGGACGCCTCAGTCCATCCTGTTACTGCAAAACACAGCCAAAACTGGGGGCAAACATAAGCAACTTGGATAACGATTTCATGAAGTTACAACCTACAGGCGGGGCGAGATAAAGCGCAAACATGGAAAGGGAAAGGAGGGCTAGCGTCAGTGGGAACGAGGGGGTCTGGAAGCTCATCCCACTGGAGAGAGGCAGAAGGGCCCTGTAGCGCTGCTCTCAATCTGGCCCGTGCAAACAGCTGCGGTGCAAACACAATTAATATCCGGATGAGTTATTACCAGACACAAGGCCACACTGTGGTCTATTTTCACCACAAGAGAAGCAGTAATGGTGCGTGAGCTGGTGTACGCCCTCAAAACAAATGCGGTGCACTAAGTATTGTATGACAGAAGCAGATTATACTGACATATAACAATCTATAAGCCAGTAATTCTGCCTGATACCATCACATCATCAGCTAATTTCTTTTATACAAGTGGTCTGGCTATTAATCATATCTAAAATTCTCCCGTAGCTGCATGTTTTACGGTCATCTGAAAAAGAAAGCACCAGAAAGCAGGTTCAACATATCCAAGCATATCCCACATATTTCATGATCTAACTGGCCAGCCTAAGCATGTACAACAATGCTAGAACGCTCATCTCTGTGCGATGCTATCAATCGATCACGCCAGTGGGGTTTGTTTAATTAGTTAATGCACAGCTCTTTGAATTAGGTTAAGACTCAAACACCTTTACCTTTTCAGAAGTCTTGTGAATTGCTTCATTTTTTTCCAAAACAAATTTTGCAAACAAAACCAAAAACCGTGATCTTTTTTAAAAAGAAAAAAGGCTTTCTCCTGCCAACCCTTTCAAAGATAAACTGTTTCCAATTGTGCAGTCATGAACTTGAACATTGAATATACTAACTAAGGCTGGTGGAATCTGGGAACTAGCTCACGGGTTTTAGACATTTTCTTTGAGCACAATCTAAGAATTAAACTTGCTGGAATGAATGCTCTGGCGCAGCTAAATGAAACACTTCTGCTTTCATAAAGACGCTAACATGGTTTAATGCCAAATACTGTCAACCTGAGTTCTGCATTGATATAATTTTAAAAGCAGCTTAGATTCTAATGAATATCTTGATCATTCTTTCATGCATATCTAAATGTAGCAACAAATGACTTTATCAAACACTTATGAACAAGATTCCCCTTAAGGTTTTTTTTTTATATTAAACTTGTGTATAACAGGTTTCATTTTTCAAAAGCTGAACACAGAGAAGGAATCAGTTTTTGCTGAGCCAGTTAAAGCCCTTGCTGGCACTTGCATTAAAAAAAGAAATGTACCAACAAGCTGTTATTTGCTTGAATGCATGCTTCTTTTTAAGAGTATGTGCACGGAATGTGTGTGTGTGTGGGGCCAGAGTGCCAGTACTGGATAGCCCTGTTGTCCTCTCCTATTTCTATTAGGAATGAAAAGCTTGTCTTGAGGCATTTTTCTCAACTAAGAATGCGGGTTTGTGCACATTTACGCACAGCAAGTGTTTGGTGAAATGCTTGAAATTCTAAACTGTGTCCGCTGTGGCTGTCTGGAAAATTAAATCAGTCCTTGTAAGAAACAGGTGCAAAAGAATACCTGTGTTTGGTTTTGCTTTTTCTTTTTTCTTTTTTAACCCACTGAAAAAGAGTGCGTCCTAAAACCCAGAGTATTAACGATGACTACAAGTCCATTTCCGAATGCTCTAAAACCTCATTCCAGTAACGGTGACATCCATCTGAACCTTTATTCAAACGCTAATTTCCCCTGTTTTGCCACTGACTGCTGTTCAGCTGCTGACTAGCTTTGTAGTACACTGGTTACAAGCTGGGACCCCGCCTGGCACCAGATACCGAGTGTGGTGCTGACCGTCCCGCACACACACGGCTTGGCACTGGTCCGAGCACAGGCTCGAGCCCTTCCTCCGGCGGGAAGGGCGGGGGGGGGGGGGGGGGGGGGGGGGGGGGGGGGGGGCCCGGGG